ATTAAATAAGGTAAAATACATTTCATGTTCAATACAGTACCAGGTACTTAAGTTGGACAATAAATGGTAGTTATTATTGCTTACCAATGGTAGTTATTATTGCTTACCAAGAAATAGTCCAGACACGTTAGCAGAATAATGGAGTTCCTTCTAGCTTGGACCCCTCTTCCTGTCTTGCAGTCTTGGAAGCCTATCTCTTCCCACAAGAAATTCTGCCCCCCCCCCCTCGCCCTCTGCTATTACCTCACCCTTACATGGAGGAGGACAGATGTCATGACACTTAAAGAAGGAAGGGCTCTTCAGAACCTGGTGTCCATTTTTAACAGAAATCAGCTAGTGGGGAACACATCCTGGGAAGAAAAGAAACCCAGAGAGTGAGATGGCAGGAAAGGTTTTGTGATGGCATGTGAGAAAACCAGAGAGCAAGGTGGTAGGGAAGGTTTAGTGATTGCAAGTGATAGATCTGGAGGGCAACTGCACAACTGAGCTAGGAAATTCCTCTCTTACGCTAATGAGGCAGGAGACACTGGGTTTTTGCTATTTCTCTGAGCAAATCAGTAGCAAATAAATGGTAAAATGGGTGTCCCCATTGAGTGCCAGTTAAAGTGGGACCAGTGCATCCTAGCATGTGAGATTATCTTGGAGTCCACTTTAAACCCATTAAGTTTGACTAATTGGATAGCTAGTGTTAAAAAAAAAACACCCATTATACATACATTCAGGAACAAAGATAAACAAGTGAATATTTGGATGATTTGTGAAAGCACATGAATTCTTTGCAAAACAATGTTGCTCAGTGACCAGGAAGAGCATGCCTTCTTAGATTGGAGAAGCATCTCCTTTGCGATCTCTTGGCTTTCACAATGGATCTGAGGGGGAAAGTGCTTTGGCCTTGGTGGGCATAAATTATGATATATTTTAGTTACCAATGGTGAAATTGTTGAATTTTTGCCCAGTTCTGCTGCTTTATTATTCAACCCTCTCACTTCAAATTGCCATTTTCAAATTGGTATCGACCCTGTGCTAGCAAAACACAGGGTGCAAGCATGTTCTTGACATCAATTCAAAACCATGGTTTTTGCTTTGTTTTGCTTTTTTTCTAGTGCTACAGATTGCCCTTGGACCCTCACATGTGCTAGAAATTATAACATTTTAATTGTTCCTCTGCAATAAGCCACTTGTTTAAAAGAGTGCAGAATAATTAATAGCCAATCTTTTACTTGAAGCCCATGTCTGATTGTTATCTTTGCTCAGGTCTTGGTAGTCAGAATGAGCCAAACAGCCCCAGTAGTGTGGCCGACCTATCTTTTAATATTAGCATGTACCAATGTCCCCTAGGTTTTTTTTTTTTTAACACATTGGGGTATATATACAGTGAATAGAAATTTCCCCTGTTTCATACTATATTTTATTAGGATTCTGGAGAGAAATTAATTGATGAGAATAATGCAATTTTTTGTATTGTATCTATGTAGAAGGAGCAAGAAATGTTAGTCCTCCTCGCATGAGGTGGCTTCCCTAAATATGGTCTCTCAGAACCTGTTCAGGGGCTATCGGATGTAAAGGCCTCGAGAAGGCGGCTGCATTTACAGGGGGGTAAAGCCAGGGCACTGTGCGCCAGTCCACCTGCATCTCTATCCACCTGTTGTCCCGCTCTCACATCTTAGGATAGTACCAGGAAAATACAACCTAAAGAAAAGAAATCAGTGTTGCTGTCATGGTGAATTATCAAATCATGTGATCCCATCTCTCCGCAGCAAGTTACCACTGTTACTTTCATTTGAGTGCTTGCTGGATTGAGGTCTGTCTTCCCTGTAAGAGTAGCTAATCTTCCAAAAGATCAGCTAGGTCATTTGTTCCAATACCTGGAACAGTGCCTAGCAAGGATTGAGGGTGATACAGATGCTTTTTTACATATGTGGAGGGATGGGAAGATGTTTGCATCACCTCTGAGTTATACCTCAAGGCATTTTTGTGCTCTGGCCATTTAGAATTTATTGCTTTAAGGATTTCAGATTATAAGCCTCCAATTTAATTCCCAGATCACTTGACTTTGGGAGGGCGGGAAGGACATTTGTCTTACTGCTAGAACAGGGATGGTTTTTCTTCTAAGAGTTGGACAGTAAACAGTTCACAATAGAGGCTCCTCATTAAATTGCTCAAAAAGCATTGTTTTCTCTAAGACCTTGGCAAACAAAACTCCTCTTCCTCATCTGGTTGCCGTTTAGGGATGTCGGAGTCTGAGCTTTGGAAAGACACCAAGGGTGGCCCCATTTGAACAAGGTTATGCCTCTTTAGATGAAGCTATTTAATGCCACTGCCACTGGAAATGACTTTTCTGAGAATTTCTGACCCAGGCAGATATAAAGTCCCTGGAAGCAGAGTTTGCCTTTAGACTCCTAAGGAAGTAAAAATGAAAGCTTACACTTTAAGTGCATTAAACTCAGCCCTCTGGAAGACAGTACAGGCCCAGGTACCACTGCCTTAGACACAGGCCTGCTAGTGCTCTCAAAGGACTTTTGTCCTGTGGGTGGAGAGGGGGTGGTGGAACATATGGTGGGCTGTCGTCTCTTTCACAAACCCTATGGATTTGGCAAGTGCCAAGACTGTGAATGGGATCCCATGGTCCTCTGCTTCCCAAGCATGGCATCACCCTAAGAGCCTCTCACCTCCCTGAGGTTTTCTGACTTTCTTCTCTCTCTCCATCCCTCCCTCTTCCTGTTACTGCTTCCTGGCTGGATCCACCATAGGAACGCATTGGGGTAACTATGTTGCTTGTTTTGTAAGTAGGAGGTTTGGGCGACTAGGTGGGAGGAGGGAGAAACTGTAATTGGAGGAGAAGGGACTAACTCAATGAGAAAGGAGTGGTAGCTGGGCGGTGGTGGTGCACGCCTTTAATCCCAGCACTCGGGAGGCAGAGGCAGGCGGATCTCTGTGAGTTCGAGGCCAGCCTGGTCTACAACAGCTAGTTCCAGGACAGGAACCAAAAAAGCTACGGAGAAACCCTGTCTCGAAAATCACCCCCTCCCCCCAAAAAGAAAGAGAAAGGAGTGGTAAGTTTATATGAATGGTATGTTTCCGTTGAGGACCAAGAGTTTATAGCTAAGCAGCTCCCACATCTTCTTGGGAACTGACCATTCCTCTCAGTTTGCATAGTATTTTGTCTATGTGATGTTTCTCTTAAATACTGTAGGTAGATATGCTTAAAAAGCAAAAGAATTAAGCCAGGCAGTGGTGATGCACACTAAGTATCCCAGTACTTGGGAGGCAGAGGCAGGCAGATCTCTGTGAGTTCGAGATAAGCCTGTTCTATAAGAGCTAGTTCCAGGACAGGCTCCAAAGCTACAGAAAACCCCGTCTCAAAAAGAAAAGAAGGAAAAGAAAAAGCAAAAGAATTTATTAAATATGCTGAAGCTCTTGGATGTGAAAGTCCATATTAATATAGCATATGTGGATTACCTTTCAAAATGACATGTAGGTCATCTGTGACGACCACGAGAGTTTAGAATTAATGCTGGTGTAAAGTCAGCCCGAAGGATTAGATTCATTGGCTTCATGCCTTTGTAAAAGATAGATTATGGTTCCCTCATCTGAGGCTGGGCATAGCAGGGCAAATTGCATGCAGAATCAGGTGTTCTCCATCTGATGTTTTGGGTCCCCCCTCCAGCAATTGTTAATATAACAGTAGTTTGGGCCAGCATGAGGAATGAATCTCACTGTTTAGAGTCTTATTTCCCAGCATGTAGTTTTCTTTTACAAATTGTAGTTAGTTGAGTCGAATGCAAAGATCTAAGGAAATGAACGGGGAAGAAAAAGAAATACAAATTGATTTATGTATTTAATTCCTAGAAATAATGAAGATCATGCATTTATCTTTTTAAGAGAAAACACTCGTAAGAGGCAGAATAGGGAGGGTCATGACCCATAGAACCAGGATAAAGGTGGGTATGGCCTACAACTTGGGCCTGCTCCAGCTGAGTAGTTCCCTGAAGCCTGTGCTAGGTGCTGAGCTCCTGAAATGGAAATGACGGCAGGGAAGGCCAGCCATGCATAATTGGAGTATGGACCAAGGTCCTCTCAAGATGCCTGCACACATACTTTCTCTTAAGTACCAGCTTAGCACAGCAAGAATGTTGGGTTCCTCACCGGTCCTTGCTATGTTCTCCCCACACTGATGAACCATGAGAACAAACCTAGACTTCTGGGTCAAGTTCCCCAATGAGACATGCTCTCAACTGTTCCCAAGTCAACAAATAGCTTGAAAACCTGCTATGGAAAAAGAGACTGGACTAGGCCCAGTGGAGATCCATAGCAGGCCTCTGGTCATGCTATCTAGTTGACATTGTTCCATTTTATTTACCATTGTGATATTAGATGGCATTAAACTAGCTAGCAAAGACATGAAACAACTATTAATATGTGTGCATGGAAGTCCATGAATGCCTGTGTGCTCCTTTGTGTGTACACAGATGTTCCCTCTCTTTCATATTGCCACAGCCAGGGAAACAATAGAAATTATAAATGCCTTTAATAGAACATGTACTTAATGCATTTATGGCCATCTTACGAAATTAACGTCATATTATTCATACTGCAGAGCATCAGTCTGGTACTCTCATGATTTTGTGGGTGACTAGGACCACTGACTGCCCAGTCTCGCAAGAGAGTATCTCCCTGCATAGTATCAGCCTGTGGGGGAATATGCTGGAGTTGATGCAGCTTCTATTGAATGCAGCTCGCTTTTGCGCCATCTGAAGTTGGAAGCACTTGGATGTGCATACATGGGTATTCCAATATGGATGTGTGCGTGTGCACACTGGAGAGTGGCTGAGACTGCATGTTTGCAGATTGCTCCTGAGTGACTCTACAGCAGCCTAGTTTCTGACCTCTGTCTACTTCTCTGTTCTCTGCTTTTACTCTGTTATTATTAATGCAGTGGTGAGGCTGCAACTTCTGTTTCTCCCCTTACGAAATGATACACTGGGGTCCTCTCTCTACAGAACCAACAAGGGGCGGGACATCAAGACTATCAAGTCTCTGAGGGTACTCCGAGTTCTGCGACCACTGAAAACCATCAAGCGCTTGCCCAAGCTGAAGGTAATGTTTTTAGAATTTGTCCCCATCGAATACCGTTCTTTCTTCTTCTCTCTTTAGCTACAGCTGGCTAGCCTTTTGCACAGTTCATTCTTAGAATAGCCCATTTTCTCTCTTGGGGATTAAGATTCTTTACATCTATTGAAGCCAAGGTCTTCTAATGTCCCAAGAAACTTGCAGGTGAGATCTTTCCCCTTCAGCTCAGGCCCCGTTAGTATTATAGTCCCTGGAATGACTTGTCATTCAGGAAGATGTCTGTCTGGCTTTGTTTTAGAACATCCTGTGTCATTAAAATAGAAGCCACAGAAGCCTTCTATCTGTGTAATCTGTGTGCTAAGGTAGCTTGGGTAGTCTGGGCTATCTATCGTCTTAGGGCTTTTACCACTGTGAAGAGACACCATGACCATAGCAATTCTTATAAAGAAAACATTTAACTGGGGTGGCTCGCATACAGTTTCAGAGGTTCTGTCCATTATCATCCTGACTGGAAGCATAGCGGTGTGCAGGCAGGCAGACATGGTAATGAAGCTGAGAGCTCTAGTCTTACAGGCAACAGGAAGTCAACTGAAAGTCACCCTGAGGGAAACCTGAGCAAAGAGACCTCAAAGCCTGCTCCCTTGGTGATACATTTCTTCCAACAAGGCCACACTTTCTAATAGTGCCACTCCCTTTGGGGCCATTTCCTTTTAAACCACAGTCTACTCGCTGACCCCCAAAGGCTTATAGCCATATCATAATGCAAGAAAAAAATACATTCAGTCCAACTTCAAAAAGTCCCCATAGTCTATAACAGTCTCAAACTTGTTTCAAAGTCCAAAGTCTCCTCTGATATGCATGGCAATCTCTTAACTGTAATCGTCCTGTAAAAATCAGAATCAAAAAGCAGATCATATACTTCCAACATGTAATGGCATAGGGTGTATATTACCATTCCAACATGTAGGGAAGGGAGCATGGTGAGGAAATACTGGACCAAAGCAAGACCGAAAACTGGCTGAGCAAACTCCCAAACTTCCATCTCCATGTCTGATGTCAAAGTGATCTTCAGATCTCCAACTCTGTTCAGCTTTGTTGACTACAATATCGTTCTTCTGAGCTGGTTCTACTTCTGGTTGGCAGCTCTCCATGACTCTGGCATGTCAAACATCTTGGGTTTTCCAAGGCAATCCAGGCTTCAAGTTCACAGCTTCACACGGTGACCTCTGTACTAGGCCTCCATTCAGGGACACCCCTGACACATACCTGGCACCAGTGGTTTTCCTTAGATGCAGAGACAAATTCAATAACCTGTTTCTTTTATCCTTATCTCTAAAGTCAGAACCACATGGCCAAAGCTGCCAAATTCTGCAGTTTACTGGAGCTAGAACATGGCCCCCTTGTTCAATTACGTCTTCACCAGCTTTCTGTCCTTCACTGCCTAAGCTTGACTGTCCTGAAACTTGCTCTATAGCCCAGGCTGGTCTCAAACTCAGATCTGCCAGTCTTTGCCTCCCCCCAGTGCTGGGATTAAAGGTGCCCCCACCACACCCTGCTATAAACTTTTCTTTAGTTCCTTTTCACAAGCTGAAAACTTAGTTTGCTGGCATCTTGCCCTGAGGTCCCCACTCCCTGCATTCATTTCTTAACCCATTTATCTCCTTGAACTAGGGATTTAGCTCCACTTCACTCCCTGATGCTCTTTTTTTCTCCTCAAAATTGACATTTTGTAATTTTCCCTGATCAGCCTGCACCTTTTCAATAAGTCTTGATTAGATTTACCACTAAAAACCACACGACAGAGTCTGTACTAGGCTGTTTTGCGATTTTCTTCTGCCAGTGGACTTAATTCAAGTCTTCCCTTTAGCCTCAGGAAGGCTCTTTGGACAAAGGTAAAAGGCAGCCACTTGCTTCACCCAAATATCACAAAGAACGATCTCTAGGCAGCATATTAAAATTCTTCTCCTCTGATACCTCTTGAGTGAGCTCCCAACAGTTTAAATAACTCTTAGCACCTTTGTCTTCCATGCTCCTACTTGTATGGCCCATTAAGCAATGCCTAAAGCATCCATTGCTTTCAATAACCCTAAGTACCAAAGTCCAAATTCCTCCAAACACAATGTCCAGCCTATCATAGCAATACCCGAGTCCTGGTACCAATTTATGTCTTATGATTTTTATTGCTGTGAAGAGACACCATAACCATGGCAAGTCTTATAAAGAAAACATTTAATTGGGGTGTGAGGTTCAGTCCTTTATCATTGTGACAGGGAACATGACTGCATGCAGGCAGACATGGTGCTGAAGTTGAAAGTACTACATCTTGCAGGCAACAGAAAGTCAACTGACTGGCATAGAGGGAAGCCTGAGCAAAAGAGACCTCAAAGCCCACCCTACAGTGTCACACTGCCTCCAACAAGGCCACCTCTCCTAATAATGCCACTCCTTTCAATCACCACAGCTGTTTTCTTCAGTTATGACTTTAGAAAAGTATCATCTTACACAAATAGTTCATATTTTTGAGGTACAAATAGGTAACTTAAGGACACATGGTCTATTTATGGCAGAGGCAGAAAAGAAATGGGGAAGTGAGTTAACCTGAATAAGCTCTTCCATGGTCTGGCTAAAAACTGGGATCTATACAATCCCCTCACCCTCTTGCCCAGTACCCTTCCTGCCTCTCAGGGCTGGCTTCCCATTCAAGCTTGGCGTCCTAATTGAGCTCACCTCCCTCCCCTTTCCTCTCTATATACTGTGGTTAATAGAGTCTGAAGCTCCATGGGAGAAAAGCCCTGTGCCTGGCCGCCTTTCCTGAATTCCTGAGGATTATCAGTCCCCAGTCCAGGGCCTCACAGTCCTGTTCTTGCAGTCCAGGTCTAACTGCCAGTAGAGCAACCCTCAGCACCAGCACCCAACTCCATCCTCCTGGGGTACACCAGGATGCTTCCTGGGAAGCAGATTTCATTGCCCACTTGCAGCACCCCAGAACCTAGCACAGGGCTTCTCCAAGAGTGGCTGGAGGCTGCCCACGTCTGAACCTTTGAAAAGCTTCTTAAATAGGCACGCTCTCCACATCAGCACAACAGAGCCAGACTGTCTGGGAGAGGAGCCTGAACTCTGGCTTCTAAACCTGGTCAGCGGTAACTCTCAAACAATAGAGTAGGACCTGGTCACCATGGAAAAGAACCTACATGAGTGTCAAGTCTAGCTCAAAGATTTTGGAGATATGTGACCCAGAACAGATTACTTTTTCTTAGAATTCCTTTCACCCAGAAACTGGAGATCCATGTAACATACAATTGTAGTAAAGACAAGAGAGCTGGTATGAGTTGTCCCTAGCCCAGAACCCCTGGTGTGTCTAGGTCTGCCTCCCATGCCTGCCGTAGAAGGCAAAGCTATGAGCTTGTTTCTCCTGTTTGTCCCAATTCCCATCCTTTCCCAAGTTCTCCTAATTGATCATGTATGTCACCTGCCCCAACCACAACCCACACCCCTCCTGGTCTCGGATCATCACTTCTTTCTATCCTCTGATCAGAATAGAGGAAGCAGAATAGAGTAGGGAGGGGAAGGGGGGGATGGGAAGGTGAAGGAAAGGATAGGCTGCTTCTGAAAGGCCTCAGACTAGCTGTGCCATGGTTTTGTCTCAGGCTCAGCACACACTGTGTGGAATCCCAGGGGAGCAACTCATTCTTCAAAGGAAGTGGCGCTCCCAGCCTCTTTCTTCCCTGGCTCTTCTTCCGCTCCTGGATCTGGACCTTCTACTGTGGCAACTCTTCCTGGCCACCCTCCCCGCAGCCAGCCCTTGGCTTAGGCCTTATCAATCACCACCCCTGTGTGTCCCATACTCAAGCTGTCTGGGGCTCCAAATGTGATGAGATTAGTCCATATCTCAAGAAAGTGGCCTCCGCCTTCATTAATTCTGTTAAATTGGGGAGCGGTTCCTCTTTGCAGTATGAAAACCTGAGAAAGATGTAGGTGGTTCTGATCCCACAAGACTGCGTGTCACTCACGTTCTCTTCAGTGTCACACTCGAATGAATCCAGCCAGACTTCACCCAGCACCGTGAGGAAGCAACTGCGCAAATGCAGTACCCCGTGAGGCCAGACTCTCAGTGAGCTACAGCAGAAAACCTTGAAAATAACCTAAACAATGGCTTAAAATATACCTAACTGTCATGGAACTCCTCATGTCTTAGGGAGGTCTCTGGAGACTCTCTGTTTTTGTATTGAAACAGAAACCCCACTCTCTGTACACACAGCCTCACCTCCAAGACAAACAGACCTCAGTCCTTTCTGCAGGTTTGTTGACCTTCCTCCTGAATGCAGCCAGCTTTCAGCTAGAGGGCAGCGGCATGCCGTGGTAGAGTCAGATACAGTCAGAGCGAATATATGAACTTAATGGTGAACAAAGACAACAGCATGTGGTTGCCCTTTGATCCACTTAGAAAGAGCCAGGTGAAGATGGTCCATAATCACTGTGTAAGTAAATCTGTGAGTGTCACCAACAGTTTCGAGGTCAGGAACAAGCTGTTCAGGGAGCTTCAAGATGCCGTCTAACATCACATTTCCGGGTTTCACGTGTTCAGTGCCTACAGAAACACCACAAAACCCCTCCATTACGTTTATCGTCTTGTGTAAGCTTCAGGCTTTTACATTTACTTGATGCCTTAGAGATGATGTCTGCTTCCCAGGCCGGGTTCTTGCCACCACGACCAGCTAGGAAGATAGCTTCCAACCCCATGAGTATCACTGCTTAGTAGCTGAGAGCTCCTGGGACAGCTTCTCAGACTGCTTGGTGGTGGCGTGGCTGTACCTCAGCTCTGGGCGTAGGAGTGTTTTGTCACAGGGATGACACGAGAGCCTTCGTTGCTGTCCACAGGCTGTGTTTGACTGTGTGGTGACCTCCCTGAAGAATGTCTTCAACATACTCATTGTCTACAAACTCTTCATGTTCATCTTTGCTGTCATCGCCGTCCAGCTCTTCAAAGGGAAGTTCTTCTATTGCACCGACAGCTCGAAGGACACAGAGAAGGAGTGCATGTAAGAGCTGCTGCCATATACCTCTCGCTGTGCCAAGAGTGTCCTGGCAAGTCCCTCTCCACCTCCCACGGCGGACTAGGTCTCCATTCTCTCCAAACTCCATTCCCCTTCCCATAGAATGATAAACCAGAAAGAATAAAATAGACATCTGTTGAGCTCCTTTTCTCATATCAGATATAGTAAGAGACACTATGCCCAGACCCTTAAGTTTTAAGTCTTTCTAATGACCTACTGAGAGAAGCTTTATTTACATTTTATAAGTATAGAAGATGAAAGTCAAAAATTAGGTTGTCCACGGTTACCCAGGCAACTCATGATATCAGGATTCATCCTGTATCTGTTGGGCACCAAGTACCATTTTATTCCATGCCAGTGCCTGCCCTTAATACAACTTGCTCTCCCTTTTCTATGATAGTCATTGTTAGCCTAACATTCGTAAAGTTTGTAAGACTGTGTGACTGTTCCACACACTATACTTAAGAAGCCCTATTTCATTTCTCTTCTGCTTTCAGAGGCAACTATGTAGATCACGAGAAAAATAAGATGGAGGTAAAGGGCCGGGAATGGAAGCGTCATGAGTTCCACTATGACAACATCATCTGGGCCCTGCTGACCCTCTTCACTGTCTCCACGGGGGAAGGGTGGCCTCAGTGAGTGACGGGGTAGGCGGGCTATATGTGTCTTGCAGGCTGCGATGGGACTGTGTGGGTGCCTCGCAAAGCTGATTCAAGACGAGCACGGCTAACCCTTTGTTATTGTACCAGGCAAAGTAAGTGGTTATGAGTGGGTGAGAAAGGGAGAAAAGAGGAAAAAGAAAAACCCTTCAGACAGAGATGGAGACGGGGTAGGCAAAGTCAGGGAAGTATATGAAACTCTTTGTTTTCATCAACCTTCGTGTTGGTTGGAGTTCTTTGACTTACAGAACAAATGGATTTTACCCCCTCAGAAAAATCCCTCAGGGCTGTTTTAAGCAGGTCTGTCCTTAAGGTTGGCTCTGCTCTCATCTGAAAGCCTAAAGATGCAGAGATCTTGCAGACCCTAGAGATGCTAAGTAAGACCAGACCTCTTTTTAAAGACTGCAGGTTCTTATGCTGTCCATAGCGGGAAACTAAAGTTTGTTTTTTCAAAGACTTAGCAATTAGTAAGACACCACTAGTTGGCAGTAGAAAATCAAATGACACTAGAAGTCTCGTGTTATTGAACATGAGAACCTAAATGATAAGAGGGTATCATTCCATTGTTTAGGAGTTGAATGCAGATAGCAAGTGGGCTAGAAAAGGCAGTGTGGTACTTTGTCTTTACCAAGTTTAGTTATGGCTGTTGAAATAGGAGCGGCGGCGGGGCTGCGTCCCCAACACCCCGGCCGCTTGGCTAGCTCATGCCCGAAATAACAACACACAAACTGTATTCATTTAAAGAACTGCTTGGCCCATGAACTCTAGCCCTTACAGGCTAATTCTCACACCTGGACTAGCCCATTTCTAATGATGTGTGTAAGCACCCCAAGGTGCGCTTACTGGGAAGAGTCTAGCCTAAGTCCATCCGGGATTGGAGGAGCTTCATTGCGTGCATCTGTCTGGGAGAGCTGAGCATGGCATCTCTGCTCCAGCAGAGCTGTCGGGTCTCTCCGGAAGCAGAGCAGAGTCTGACCTCACTTCCTCTTCCGCCCAGAATTCTATTCTGTTTACTCCTCCCATCTATGTTCTAAGCTGAGGCCAAGCAGTTGGTTTATTATAACTTAACCAATGAAATCAACAGATTGATATATGACACTCCCACATCATATGGCCACCTGAAATCAGTGGAGGAATGGAAAAAGTCGGAGAAGACATATCAAGCACAAAAGGTGGCACACCTCCTGAAAAGCCAAGACTGCCACCCACTATCTGTACTCTCTCTCTTGGTCCCCCCAGGGTCCTGCAGCATTCTGTAGATGTGACAGAGGAAGACAGAGGCCCAAGCCGCAGCAACCGCATGGAGATGTCCATCTTTTATGTGGTCTACTTTGTGGTGTTCCCTTTCTTCTTCGTCAATATCTTTGTAGCTCTCATCATCATCACCTTCCAGGAGCAAGGGGATAAGATGATGGAGGAGTGTAGCCTGGAAAAGAACGAGGTAACCCGGGGGAGACTGTAGTAAGGGGCAGGAGTGGAAGTTTTAGGAAAGAATCGGGACGGCATGCTTAGAAAGTTCACGTTTTCCTAACTTTACTATAGCAGTAGAGTAAGAAGAGGGGAAGTCACCAGTGGGAGGCACAGAGGCATGCACTCGTAGATCTGGGACTCACTGGGTAAGAGCACTTTTGCCACAAGTACGAGCGTCCTACATACAATCCCCAGCGTCCACATAAAAAGCTGAGTATGGGGCTAGGGCACTAGCTCAGTGACTACAAGTCCCTGCTGCCAAGCCTGATGTCATGAGTTCAGTCCCCAGGAGCAACGTGATAGAAGGAAAGCACCAACTCCCACAAGCTGTCCTCTGACCTTTACGTGTGCATCATGATGGGTACACATGTGTACTGTTTTAAAAAGCTGGGCATGCCTGCATATGCCTGTAACCCCAATAGGGAGTCACATACAGGTAAATCATGAGAGCTTGCTGGCTGGGTAGCTGAACCTTAATGGTGAGCGTCTGGTTTCATGAAAGGTCCTGGTTCAAGGCAACTATGCAATAGGAAAAGATGGCCCATCTCCTCCTCTGACCACCCAGAGTGGTGTGTGCCCAGGCATGCTCCCCTGCACATCCACATGCATTTACATCACACACAGACAAGACACAAACTAGTATACAAAGAAAAGATAAGCATGCAATTTCCACCCTTATGTGTGATAGTCTAGAAGAAAAGGACATGCGCTACAGTTATACCATGAAGGTGTTCTCTTACCTCCCTGACTCTCATGGCATCTCAGTTTCTAATGACGGGGAATATGTTTTCTTAATTGCTCCTCTAGCACATGCATAGGTTTGGAACATGGTAGGGTTTTATGGTTGACTTTGTTGTTGGTTTAATAATGGAGCTGAGCTGGAAACAGTTATAGATTATAAGGGGAGTGCAGAAGCAGATACGGTTTGAACAGTTCCAATATAAAAATCCAAATGTTTAAAAATGCAAAACCTTTTGACTGATATGATATAGAAAGTAGAAAATTCTATACCATGAAACTTTGTTTCATACACAAGATTAATAAAATATTACATAAATTATCCTTAGGCTATGTGGACAAGGTACATATGAAATATTAATTTTGTGCTTGTGCTTAGCAGAGCATCATGTCTTCAGAGTATCTCATTACATTTATGTAAATGGTAAAACCTCAGAAACACATCTCTAATATCACAAATCACTCTAGTCCCACACATTTCAGATAAGGGAGTCCTAGGCAGTAGATAAGTCATCTTAAGAAAGTTCATGCAGGGTTTAGGGGCGTTGAGCTGATTCTAATAACTTGACTTTCTGCAGCGGGCATGCATTGACTTCGCCATTAGTGCCAAACCCCTCACCCGCTACATGCCGCAGAACAGACACACCTTCCAGTACCGCGTCTGGCACTTTGTGGTTTCTCCATCCTTTGAGTATACCATCATGGCCATGATCGCCTTGAACACTGTCGTGCTGATGATGAAGGTGAGAAGTGACTGTGTGTGTTCACCGTAACTGTGAAATCACTCTACCTTCCTCGCCTGCCATCTTTACCTGCTCTTCCCACATGGAGTCTCTTTGATTTTACCTAGTTCAACAGCCCAGTCCCTGGGTTCCAGGGTAGGGCTGGGGTCATCGAATGAAATGCAGAGTAACACAGAGTAGGAGTTAGGGGCCTTCAGGAACAAAAGTGTCAGGAGGGTGCACCTTCGACCAGGGTGCACCACGTCCTTCAGAGATCATGGAATCTAAAAGAGGGCTGAAGTTAGTGGGAGCTTGATTATTTTTAATGCTAAGTACAAAACACCTAGTTCTGGAAAGTGTTTCTGTCATGGCTACCTTTAGCCAGGACATGAAGGTGGCTTTGCTATTAAGGTGCCCCGAGTTGGACATAGTTGAGAGATGACTAGATCTGGCATTTATATCCCACCATATACACATGTGCCTTAAGGCTTTGACTCTATTATTCTCTTTCTTCTCTTTCCTGGCAGTACTATTCTGCTCCTTGCACCTATGAACTTGCCCTAAAGTACCTGAACATTGCCTTCACCATGGTGTTCTCCCTGGAATGTGTCCTAAAGGTCATCGCTTTTGGCTTCCTGGTATGTCTGTTCCGGCATCAGGCTTCTCTTCCTTTGGGGTACATGGAGGTTACTGCTCTTCACCCTCTTGCCTACCTAATAGTGAGCTCAGTTTACTCCACAAACAGGCTGCCGTGTAAGTAGAGTAGGAGAAAAGGCAAAGAGAACCACCTCCTCATCTCCATCCCCATCTAACCAGCAGCCCTGGTCCTACTGAACACTGTCAACAGTAGAGTGGCCATCTTTGAATTTTACTAGCACTATAACTGATGTATAAAGAAAGAGAACATGACTTAGATTAATAAACCTTGAATGATTATTTACTGATTAGATAGATTAATTTTATGATTTGAATGGGAAAATATCTTTCATAGCCTCAAAACTAAATAAATTTATAAAAGAAAAAACTATTAATTTTTTACATACTAATCCCAGTTCCCCCTCCCTCCCTTCCTGCTCTCCCCACCTTCCCCTCAACCCACCCCCAATCTGTTCCTCAGAGAGGGTAAGGCCTCCCATAGGGAGTCAATGAATTCTGTCTATTACCAAGCTGAGGCAGGACCAAGGCCCTCCCCTCCTGTCTAGGCTGAGCAAGGTTTCTCTTTATAAAAAAAGGGCTCAAAAAAGCCAGAACCAATCATTAGGAATTGCTCCTGATCCCACTGCCAGTGGCCCCCAAAGTTGCCACCTACTGTCCCCTGCTTTCTGGAGACTAGATTGGTCTTTTACAGGTTTCCTGGTTGTCTGTCAGTGAGCTCCCACTAGTTCAGGTCAGCTTTCTGTGGGTTTCCCCATCCTGGTCTTGACCCCTTTGCTCCTCCCTCTCTTCCACAGGACTCCAGGAGCTCTGATACAATCAAATAATTGTTTTTAACCTATTAGCCCCTTGCCTCCTAAGTAGCCTGAAGAGTAACTTCTGCCAATTAAAATAAAAGTTTATTATTTACGTTTACAATGTTCAATTACTTTTAGGGAGTGTGAGGGTCAGGGATGTTTCTGGAATTGGATTTGTGAGGGATAGCAATGAATTTTTCTGGCATGAACTCTCTTTTTACTTCTCCTCACAACTGGCAATTATAATCCTTTGGCAAATTCTTGCGTTTGTTCTCAAGAATGTTAACAAAACCTGGCCTTTGCTGCTACGTCCTATAAACAAAGCCAGTCCCTCCCTCTCCTCCTGCTGGCTTCAGCAGGGTGCAGATAAGCCCACTTGACAGCTGCTTCACACTTATTTAGGGTGTGAGCTACCCTTTCAAGTTGAAGTGTATACCAGACCTGACTGCTTTCCTAGCAAGAAGGGAAAACTTTGCTGCAAATCAGAATAAGTGCTTCTTGGTAGCAGCAGTGACGGGGACTCTGGGCTGGGGCTGGGCTTGATAATTGTCAGTGCTGATTGTGGAGGTTGTTTTCAGTCCCCTGGTTCTTTATACAACCATTAATTTGATTATTTTGGGTGGAGAGTTGAAAGGAACCCGGTGCAGTGGCTGAATTGTGCAATTCTTGACTCCCCTTTTGAGTGTTTTGAGACTCCACGAAATTAAAAGGTAAAAAGAAACTTCTATCAAACAAAGATGTCTTTACAAAACAGTCTAGACCAAGTAGGGCAAAGTGAATGAGAGAGGGGGAAGCCAGCACCACCACAGGGAAGGCTTCGCTCTGAGTCTTGGTGTTGACATCAGGTTGTGACTTAAGCCCCAATTATGTGTTTAATTATGGTGAATGCTGAATACATACTTAGAGGCTTAACTAGAGGATTCAGCCTCAGGCCCTGCCTCCTTCCCTCCCTCACGCCTGTGTTTCATTCAAGGCCTGGACTCATTCACACCAGAAAAGGCACTGTTACATTGATTTGGCATCCTCATCTTTTGGAATACCCCAACATGTACTGATTGGTCAGATCTTCCCATTAATTCTGAAACAGGCATAGCAGATATTGCCATTGTGGCCATTATCATTTTAAATGAGAAAGATGAAGTTCATAAAAATGTGGGTTTTTTTTAAAGGTTACACAATAAAATGTAGAATTAGAAAAATGGGTGGAAATAAAAAGCAAAGAAAAGGGGAAGTAAGCCACGTATTTGTGCTGCCCAGTAAATATCCACCCAGTGCTTACACATTCACTTTCTCTATGTCACAACTGTAGTAGCTAGGCTTCCTTGTTTCCCTCTTTGACAGATAAACTACAGCTCAGAAAAGATTAACACTGTATTCAGAGTTAGTGAGAGACAGACCCAGGGGTCAGATCCTGATCTGACTCCAGAGTTCACAATAATCTGCTAGTTTATTCAGTCGCCAGGACACATTCCAAAATCCCCAGTAGATGCCTGCAAAGGAGGGCAGCCCAATGTCTATATACATGTATACATGCTCTCATACATTGCTAAATGATGGGGTGATTTCTGAAAAGCCCATTTATCCTTTCCTATTGATGTGATCAAGTACACTAGGACTAGAGCAACTGGTTTACCCTGGCTCACAGTTCAAGGGTCCAGAACCATTGTGTACAGAAAGATAACATGGCAGGAACTTGAAGCCACTGGTCACCTTACATCCACCACTAGGAAGCAGAGCACTTTCTGTATACAGTAAGGGGATCCCAGCTAGGGTGGGTGTTCCTACTCAATAACACAACCAAGATAATCCCTCAAGCATGCTCAGAAGCCCATTGCCCAGATGATTCTAATTCTGTCAAGCTAACACTAACATTGTTAGTCACAACATTGTTAGGTGATCTTGTCATTTTGTGACTATCATAGTATGTGTTTACAAACTATCATAGCTATAATAATATAATACAATAATAATAATAGCTATAATATATGATATAAATTTACAAACTATAATAGCTAGCTACATCACCAGGCAGTATAATAGTATGAGACCTCCATTGTACATGTGGGGTGTTCTTAGTAGAAACATCATTATGAGGCCCTTGACCGAACTGTGTTTTGTCCTACTAAGTTGAAGATTTTCACTTACTATCTTTTCTTTGGCATTCTACAGTTTTCCATTTAATGATTTGGATTGTAAGTAACTAAAATCATGAGACATGAAGCTACAGATAAAATGGAAGAGTACTATATTGCACAATGATAGGATGTGCCGTTGTATATTGTAAGGCATCCCCAGTTGGAACTCAAGGGTTCTAGTCTTCTGAAACCTAGATGGGTGAACTATGAATTAGGACATTCAGCCAGGCGGTGGTGGCACATGCCTTTAATCCCAGCACTTGGGAGGCAGAGGCAGGCAGATATCTGTGAGTTCGATGCCAACCTGGTCTACAAGAGCTAGTTCCAGGACAGACTTCAAAGCTACAGGGAAAACCCTGTCTTGAAAAACCAAAAAAAAAAAAAAAAAAAAAGAATTAGGAATGCCTTGAAACTGGGAACTTTAGGGACCCCACATGGCTCCCTCATAAATGGGCTAGAAAGCGAATTTATTTACAAAGTTGAACGCATCTGCTTTTCTTTGTTCTCTAGGGTACATGTGACTTTGGGATCAGATCTCCCTAAACCTTAGTTTTCTCACATAGAAAACAAGAATGACAATAGCTGTCATAGAGTCTTAAATATGTGATACTCATTAAACATAACCTCTCTCTGCACACTCCTCCACCTGTGGCATATCTACATTCTTCTGGCCAATCCCTCTATTCAGTACAAAAGAAACATGGGACATTTGGTACTACCTAATGGTCAGACCCACAAGAGGAACAAACGAACTAAAAGAACTGCAAGGGTCTGGAACAGATGCTAAAGATAAAGTGGTGATAGTTATGAGGGTAGTAAGGGGGGCCCTTTGGTAGTATTCCAAAAACTCTTATGGTACCTGATGCCCAGGGGCAAGACAAGTGGTCGGTCAATTTGGACATGTGGGTGTCCTGTTTTAAAGAATGTAGTCCAAGTTCTGTGCTATCTGAAATCAGGTGGACATATCATGCATTCTGAAGCATTTCTGGGTCTTTTGTTTCTCCCACATATAGTATTCAATCAATCTCCTATTTTCATAACTACTTCCCTGCTTTTTGTATTAAACTTAATCACACCTCCTTACAAGATGTAACAGAAGAGCAGTGGGGTGGGATGGGAGATGGAATCTACTCATCCTACTCAGTGGGGATTCGGAGCCTGTCTGTGACTTTTAGTCCCATAGAGCCTCTTGTAGCAATACAAATAATTTAGAAGTTTAAAGTTGTATGATGCTTAAGGCTTAACAGGTGTGTACTTATCCCAAATTCTCTGAGGTATATACATTATAAATGTAAAACTTTTTATTTGTTGATCAAACTCAGTAGCATGATTGAAAAATAAATGTTTTCCAATTAAAAAAATCTTATGGGATTTTTAGTGACAGCTTCAAGAATATGGTCTTCAAATAGTTGTAGAACTGTTTTTAAAATGAGGATTTCCCAAATTAGTAAAGGAGAAAGAGAATTCCGGGTTAGAAACAGGAAACTGAGCCCAAAGTTAGAATGAACGTATGCATGAATTGACAAGTTTTAATTCCAAGTGGCAGAGTTATATAATAAAATATGTCTTTTCTTTCTTCTTTTTCCATTTTCTAATGTTCACGTGACCGAATTCACTTGGCAGAACTATTTCCGAGATACCTGGAATATCTTTGACTTCATCACAGTGATTGGCAGTATCACAGAAATTATCCTGACAGACAGCAAGGTGAATGGTTCATGGGAGCCCCATATTTAAGCTGGACCCTGGAGTAGCGTTCAAAAAGGATCCTCTCCACATAAGGTCCATGTATAACTCACCCAGTTGAACATGGCCAAAGGATGCAAATTTTGGGGTGGTAGGTCTCAGGGAAGGCTTAGCTACATTTGCGTGACTCAGATAGCAGACATCGCATGGGGTAAGTGAAACAGAGGCTGTTAAAAGAAAGTAATATGCAGTGTATGGCTAAATTCTACGAAAAGAACCAGAGTTGTCTTTGACCTCAGCGTTGTTAGACCTGAAATGTTTCTCTAAGTTAGCTCCTCCTAAAGACTGTGTGGAGAACTTTATTGTAATTACTGAATACCAGAAGCCATTGTGTGCTAGGGGATTATCAGCTCCGCTCTTTCAGCATCGAAGTGCAGACTTCAGTTCATTTGGCAGAGGTTAGGGGAGCCAGTTTTCCTCCTGTGTCCTGGGATAATCCTGTACCCATCTACCTAGGAGTAGAGAGGCTGGATTGGGGGTCTTAGAGAGAGAAGCCCTGGGTGCTTCTCAGCTGGAGCTGGGTTAACCACAAAAGACAGAGACTGCCATCTATTTTGTGATCTGAATAAGGAATAAATGTGAAAATACCAGTGCTTAGATCTTCCTAAATGAGCATATTGTCACTAATTACATGTTTCCTTTTGGTCCACCAGCTGGTGAACACCAGTGGCTTCAATATGAGCTTTCTGAAGCTCTTCCGAGCTGCGCGCCTCATAAAGCTTTTGCGTCAGGGCTACACCATTCGCATCTTACTGTGGACCTTTGTGCAGTCCTTTAAGGTAAGCGGCTCGCAGAGGGTGGGACACCACCAGACAACACGGCGGCAGCATCCTCGCCCCAGTTCCTTCCCCTGTGAGCTCACAAACTTCAAGTTTATTAGAAGCATAAATACAATAGTTCTCATATAGTATAGGCTGAACAGTGTTCAATTCATTTCTACATTAGAGAATCTTATTCTAAAAACTAATATATCTCTTTGACTTTGTAACTTGGGCCTTTTGTCTCAGCACTGAGACAGGGATATGCTTTATGAAGTATGTGCTATCCTTGGGTAATCTAGATTGCTCTGAACAATCCTGTCCATCCATGGATTCAACCTCTGTGGCCTTACAGTGACCCAAACCAGCATAACTGCACAATCTTAAACTCCAACCTTTAGAATTATGAGACAAAACAAGCCTCTTTACTTCATACATTTTTTTTTTATTTTTTTGAGACAGGGTTTCTCTGTGTAACAGCCCTTACTGCCCAGGAACTAGCTGCCTAGACCAGACTGGCCTTGAACTCACAGAGATCTTCCTGCTTCTGCCTCCCAAGTGCTGGGATTGAAGGTGTGCGCCACCACAGCCCAGCACTTCATACAAAATTTTAATCAGTAAAGATAGGCTAGCATGACGTTGAATAGGTAATCAATGTATAAAGAGATGGGTGCATATTCACTCTATAATATTAAAAAAAAGGTAAGTATAAAAATTAGTATTTTGAAGGTAACATTACTCTTATATGTTTCTAAAGATTTACTTATTTTATTGGGGTTTTATTGGGGGTGTGGGTATTCTGACAACATCTGTTTTGGGTCTAGAGCTTGCTGTGTAATTCAGCTGGTTTTGAACATGTGATCCTCCAGACTGGGCATATTGAGTTCTTGGAGTAAAAGAATGGGGCATCACACTAAAAACAAAACAAACACCTAGGCCGGGCTCCCACTGTCAGATGTTGTCAGCGTTTTCATTTCATGGAAGAGGTTTTTTTCAGAGAACGTTTTCTACTTGTACTTCTTAAAACGATTCATGTGCAATCCTCCCGCCTTCACCTGGGCATCTCCTGAACTACTGAATGTATGGTGTGCTGCTGCCACACACATGACTATTTCTCTTAAACATTTTCATGGGATTATGTGTAAGTCTAGGTACATAAAAGTTAGTTAAAAGTTGGCGCCTGACAACTACTCAATGGTAGCAATGGTCAAGAAAGGTGTTCAACAGATAGCACACATTAGATGTCTTTGGGGTATTCCAAGGCTTGGGCGCATTTCTTTTCTTGTAAACAAAGTTTTAATTAACACATTAAAAAATCTGATAAAATAAAGTGGCTCAAAAGTGACAAACCATAAATTTACCACATTGTCTTCCTTCTTATATATTTAGAGTACAGGCACTAAAATCATGGTATGTCATCAGTTGGAAAGGGAGTTTGTCCCAATTTTTCCTTATTTAATTCCTTATCTGAATCATTAGAGTTGAGATGAGAGACCAGTTGTAAGGATGTTCAGGCTCCAAGGTATAGCCTGGCCTTTTCTACCCTGTCAAGAGCCAATTGTTTGCCAGGATTACTGCCACACGTCAGTGTGTTTGCAAGGCCTCACCTCAGTGAACTCTAGTTTACCAGACTTAGATGACAAAGGAGAAATTTAAAACCTTAAGAATCTATCCTCTGAGTCTGAGTGAGTTCATGTTTAGGATTAGAAAGACCAGCTACTTTTAGAGCTGGTTTTATTTTATCTTTATTTTTTAAGAGGATTGCCCATCAAGCTGCAGTTGTTAGCGAGTTCTAAGAAATGCGTGTCACCCTGTCATGTGTTCAGTCACTGAGTCTCTACTACAGTGTCCTATTCAAGTAAAGGAAGTAAAGGAAGCGGTGTCAAAAGCTGACAGCCAAAGGGTTGGCATATTTAGTGAGTACGGCAGAGATGGGAAGGCAGGTGAATCTGAAGCCCAGCGGTGTTGTGTTACAGATGGATGTTTCCTCCTGGGGACAGCTTTGGGATACAGGACAAAAGCAGACTGCTTAACAACAAAATGAAAAGGCCACTTAGGCAAATACAAAAAGAGAGAGGTGCCCAATGTAAAACTCTGGTATTGCCTTTACCTACTCAGACCCAACTGTGAGCTTCACCCAGTTCTGTCTCAGGCCCTGTTCAGAACCTCATCCTTCCCTTCTCTTTATTTTCTGTTAGAATGTACTATGTTTGTAACAAGAAAGGAGAAAAGGGGCTAGGAGATGGCCCTGGATTTAAAGCACCCACTTCTCTTGCAGAGGACCCAGGTTTCAATCCTAACAATCACATGGGGTGACTCACAACTACCTTAACTCTGGTCTCAGGGTATCCAACATCCTCTGGCCTGCACAGGCACCTTCACATATATGGTGCATATAAACTTATGCAGGCACACATATATACACATAAATAAAATAACGAATAGTCTTTTAAAAGAAGGGAGAACCGATGGACTCTGGTTTTCTCTCTAAAGCTGAGAGAGTAGGAAGATGATCTGGGCCTGGAGGCTTTGGGTGGAGAAGGTAGAACACAGCCAAGCCGAATGGGTAGAAGAGGGCAGCCCTCTAGGCCCTTCCCCCTATGCCAATCCTTGTGAAAAAAAATGGCCATTCCTTTCCTGAGATCTTGAGAGTCAGCGCTTTATGGCAGAGAGGCCTCCCTGTCAGCTTTCAGTTACATTTGGATTTATCCTCAATTCAAGTTGTAAATCGTCCCTCTTGGGGCTCTTCATTTTGTTAACTCTGCTGATAAGCTCTGCCCTGTCCAGCCATCTGAAAGCCTTTGGCTGGTCCCCTGGGACTTGTGGTGTGTACACTCATGACAAGACAGAGACTCACAGTGGCACTGGCTGCTGGGGAGCTTACTGAATGGTAAAGAAAAGGGAAATCCATGCCAGTTCTGGGGTCACCACCCGACTGTATTGACCCCATCCTATTCCCAATCCCAACTGCCCTGTGTCTGCCCATGTCCTAGAATATCAAGGGCAGATCCTTGTTTTCTAAAGTGTCAGTAAGCATACACATATGGATTTTTAAGGTTTTTTTTTGTCACATGTGGCTTCATTACAGCTTCATAATGGCTCTTAGTAGGCTTTGGGGCAACTTAAATATAAGAATACAGTAAAATATTAAAAAGATTAAACATTAGAAAATAGTGTTTCATAAGAAAATAGAAGATACTTCTGGGCATGGATAACAAGGGGTCCCAGCTATTTATCTTTGCCTCCAAATTTCCCTCTATGACTTCTATATTAGGTGTAGGAGCAGGAGGGACAAATGCCAAGGTCTTGAAGCCCAACCTAAATTCTTCTTATTTAATTTGGGTCACAGTTGCTAGGATTATTAATCTTCTGCATGTCAAGTGAAATGTCTCTGAAGCCCAGGAAGCTTTGCTAGCTCTCTTTGAAGACAGGGGTCACAAATCTATCAGAAAACTTGGGCATAATTTAGAAAGAAAGAAAGACTGCTCCAGACAGAATAGCCCTAAGCAGCAGAGTGCCAGTCCAGACTGAAATAGCCTCAGGACAAGAGTTCCTGCCCTGCCAGTGCCTGCAGAAGCAGTGCTCTCCTGGATTAATTCTCTCTTGCTTCCCTTATAGGCTCTCCCCTATGTCTGCCTTCTGATTGCCATGCTTTTCTTCATCTATGCCATCATTGGGATGCAGGTGAGTGGGCACACCAGTGGTCCTGATGGGGCAACAGCTGCCTAGATTGTCTCTGGCGGGTTTGCAGATATTTTGTACGGTTCTGCTTGACTAAGAGGCGTCTCTGAAATCTTACTGTATTATGACCTTGGGAATTTACATGAGCCGTGGGTTCCCTAGGGATTCAGGATCTTTGGGGGATTCATCTGAGGCTTTCCAATCATGCTGCTGACTTAGGAGTAGCTGGGCTTCTGTGGCTACAATAGAACTAAGGTAAAATGACACCATTGTTTTCCCAGGGAGGGATTCACTATTGTAACTGAGTAAGGCTTAATTGTTTCTCTTGATCTCTGTTACTTGGACTTGAGCCTAAAAGAAGGCTAGGCTGGGCGGTTATCCCAGCACTTTGGGGTAGATGAACTACTTCTATAAATAATAAGCATGCACCCCCTTAATATATCTGATGGGGTACACAGGCTTTCTGTTTGTCTAAGGCAGGCTTCCTTCTGACTTAAAGTCTGCATGATCAACCCCGCCCTACTCCCACCAAGATCTTTGGCTGACATTCCCCTGCAGCCTGGTCGCCTTCTCAGGTCTCTCCACCTGGAGCCAGGGCTTCAGGTTCCAAGCTTCCTGAGCAGTAGCCTTCCCTCGATTCTTTCCGAAGGCCTCTCTTCTCTTGGCTCCTCTCTCCTGCCTTCTTGTGCTCATTCTTCCTCGAACTCTACAACCAGGGAGTCTTGTTCTCCTAAATCACAGGAGGATGTTCAGCGCCCAAATATGTAAGGCCTGCTTGAGAGGCTATGGTTTTCCTTCTCCGAGGGTCTTTCAGTAGAGACGTAAAATGATATCAGTAGCATTAGTAACTGAATCGCCACAGAAGTTTAATGCTCATTTGATAATTCAAGACCCTAACCAACTCCCTCCAAACTTCCTAATCTCAAGCTGAAAACAGAAAGTTGGTTTAATTAAATTGTGGATGCCTAAATTTCTGTATGACAAAATAGCTCTCTCCTTTCATCTTCAAGCAAAATGATACCATCTCTAATTCTACTGATAATATCCATACTGATGCTGAAAATGCTGTTTGCCATTTACTTCAACTAATTTGGTATGCCAGACATAGTGTTTAATGTATGTCTATATGCAAACATACACATACACAATACAGAGAAAAGGACAAGGTATATGATTAGCATAATCAGGAGTTATCGAGTTGAGTCTCATTGTTTCCACTGATGTTTAACAGGGTTAAGTAGCCCTTCACCTTGTTCAGACTCTCGGATAATTCGCTAAAGAGCTGATCGTGAGATCTAGCTGTGCTGCCTCACAACCCACTTGCTTAACTCTGTGCCTTCTCACATCCCATCAGACAAACAAATCCAAGTATTTCTTTAACTTTTCAGTGGGACCTGGGAACTGCTCAGTTATAAATTGTAATATCCACGATAACTCTAATGTTACCACGTTTAGCCCTCTGTCTAAAACCTCCCAACACCATTTCCACAGAGACAGGAATGCTATTGCCAGTGTGACATGCATCAGGTGGCGGTTCCCACTTTGGTCCATCACAGAGACTGAATGCTGTGCCGATCAGTCACACACCCGAGTGTGTTACTAGAGAGGCCCTGGCCAACGTTGTCATCGCAAAACAGAAGGACAAACGGGTAGCAGAAAGGTTGCAGATAGATATGAATAGCAACCGAATGTGTCTATATGACAAACCATTCTAAACTTTCAAAGTCTTCTCAGAAGACAACTTTGCAGAATGAAGGAGTTTCTGGCAACAGGTTGTGAGAAGGGATGCTGTGGCCTTGGCTCTGTGGCTGCCCAGCTGTGTGAACTTGGTTAAATTACCAGACTCCACTGGGCCTTAATTCCTCTACTCATAGAGAAAAGTGAGCTAAACACGAGCAGAGCCTTCTACTTCTGCAATTCCACGTGGAGATAGATGTAAGCTTGTACCACCCTGCAACTTTCGAAAGCAATCCTTCTTTCTATTTATTAGTCTTTAATGTGGGTGATAATAGGCTGGGAGGACATAAAAAATGTGCAAAGAAATTTTAAGGTGCACCACCTCCATAATAAATATTTAGGACTTGAAAATTATCTTAGAAAATATTTAGAGTATCTGTGCTAGAGTATCTGTGCTTATTTTTAATAATTACTATGTACAAAATCATAGTGCATTCTCTGACCACTTGGAAGTATTTGAGAAAAGTCTAGGGTACAAAAGCCCTGTGAACTGTGCAGGTGTGATAGACGGGCAGGTGAACCGTGCAGGTGTGATAGACAGGCACAGATGACAGATTCCAGCTGAGGTCTTGAAGAGATGAAAACTTGAACTGATAAAGGATATATGACATGAAGTATGCAGGACGAAGGAGATTTGGTTGCTTCTGTGGGGTTTTCAGTCACGTGTCTCTTGAGGCGTTCTCCTCTTATCTGCTCTTTCTCTTCTTCCCTCTTCTGCCTGACTTGCCACCTCCGTTCTCCCTGAAGACAAGTAGTATTTGGGTTTTGAAAAAACAGCACCGAGAACAAATTCCCAAAGCAGGTGTCAGTGGGAGTTACTTGAGCAAAATAGCTGGGGGCAGAGATTGTTCCTCAATTGCACATTCTCAAAGCTGTTAGGGGGAAATGTGTTCCATTTAGCATACATCGAATAAACCAAAGCATACCAAATTCAGGCTGGAAATCATCTCACAGGGCCAGCAGAGTGACCCTTGCAGCAGTCAGTTGTACCAGCACCAATTTGGATCAGTCCTGACCTATGAAGCATAGGTAGAAGGAAAGGGTGCACCCTTCTCATTGAAGCATCTTGGAGTATTTATCTGAATCAATCCCTGTGTATGGACGAAGATTGCTGAGTGTTGCCTCTTTCCATATGAATGTCAGTGGCCAAAGTCCAGCAACACATTAGCAACATTCTCCCTATAGGCAGGACTACCTGTTTTCTTTGTCTTTCTTTCTCTTTCCCCTACTCCCTCCTTTCTTTTATCTTTCTTTCTAGAGCTCTGGACTGAAACTAAGACCTCATGTATATACGTTTGGGCTACATGTCCAGCCATTTTTCATGTGTCCAATTATCCTTATCCATCCTATCACCTAGACCTTGCTTTTAGCTTACACCTACATGATCTCTGTTGATGAGATTTGTGTCAGTTGGTGTATGTGTACAGATGTGTGTTCATTTCCACTGGCTGGAGATTAACAACAAACTTCTGAGACTTGGATCTCTAAATAAAAACATATCTAAGGAATGTACAGTTGTACTTCCATGATCTGATCTGCTTGCATATTAAAAGATAGCTTCATGGATATCAGATATAGGAAAAGAGGAGTAACTCTTTCTCTGCCCTCTTGTTATAGAGCAATGTCTTTGGTAGATTGCATGGGTACTGTGGAACTTAAAAGCATCTCTAATTTAGGCATAGGAGAAACTATGTTTATGTAGAGTGACCTTAAAAGATTTTCATTTTATCCAGTGCTTGGACATTGCTAGCATTAGTCCCCTCTACTGTACTGGAGCAGTGGGAATGTAATTAGTCTCCGTATCAGGCCAGGAACATGGTGTCTCCAGCTCTGCTACTCTGAGTTATCTATTTTAGAGGCTGCCGTTAAGAGTCATCCACGTCGTTTTACCTACCTTGCCTGTGTATCTAATGGCCAAGTGCTGGACACGTGATACAGCTCAGTACAGCTTCATTGATTTCTGTTGTCTCCCTTCAGGTATTTGGAAACATAAAGTTAGATGAGGAGAGTCACATCAACCGGCACAACAACTTCCGGAGTTTCTTCGGGTCCCTCATGCTGCTCTTCAGGTATCTGGATGACCCGCTTGTCCAAGCTGAAGATCTCATGGTCTTCATGGGGAGAAGCACCTGGAAGGAGGCAGTTGACTGGCCTCTTGATCTCTTAGTTCTGCTCCGCTGATCCTATTAGGCTATGTCGTGGAAGGAGACGATGCCTTAACTGGCTTCTCCATGATTTAGAAAGTTTCATCAGAACCTTTAACTCGGTAGTTACTTTGTCCATTTCAACCTGTTCTCCAGGGTTCTGGAAGGGGAGATGTACATAGCTTCTGACAGGAACAATTTCGAACCCAGAACCTTGAGTGGCTGCGTTTATGTGGAGTCTTGGGGTTCGATCACTATCTCACTCCTATCCGATTAGACCCTCAACAGATGGAAAAGTGGGTAGGGGAGAAGAATGAGAGGCGCTTTGTTGGCATTCTGCATCTCCATATGGAAAATACTAAAAGGTCCCAAAGGGTTAAGAAGAAAGCCCCTAGGTCCTATGTGTGAAGGGAAAAGAAGCCCAAGGGTCGGTTAGAACATGAAGACTTCGTCTAACAAAGATGGCATTTTGTGCTCAGGAGTGCCACGGGGGAGGCTTGGCAGGAGATAATGCTGTCGTGTCTCGGCGAGAAGGGCTGTGAGCCTGATACCACCGCACCCTCAGGGCAGAACGAGAGTGAGCGCTGTGGCACTGACCTGGCCTACGTGTACTTTGTCTCCTTCATCTTCTTCTGCTCCTTCCTGGTGAGCAACAGTGGGCCCTCATTTGAGGTGTGCCTGCCGGACATTCCTGATAAAAGGGATTGGGGGGCTCCTGCCGTGTCTGTGAATGTTCTCTGCCTCCCTTTGCTCCCTCCTCTATTTCTGCTGTCTCACACTTACACTCCGAGCTGTGGGACAGATCATTGCCCTTGGGGGTCAAGGTGTTCCTCAGAATCCTTGGCTGGATGACTCATTGGTTGAGGTCTTTGCTGCTTCAGTGGGAGAATCTTTGTGAGACAAGATGAGGGCTTGAATGTAGGAACCGTGCACCAAGCTTCCTGTCAACTCTGGGGTTACCGGGGTAACTCCTGTCTGTTTTGTGTCTTGTTGCAGTTTATTTAATAGCAAAGGCTTATGTCTGTTTGGGAGACTTTGTTTTTAACTGTTTATAGAAGGGTGCTTTGAAAACAGCAGCTTATAGGGTTAATAATAGGTGAATGATGATCACATACAGTGTAACTGATGTGATTCTCTCCTGACTGTGGTGCCATTGAATTGGATGGCAGCTGGCAGGCTTGATGGTGTGAAAACACGATTGCTTTGGGTGTTAGTGACTATTGAGTTGTATATGTAGAACATTCCCACGTAGGGAAGTGGTGAGAGGCCTGAAATGCCCTCTTAGTTCCTCCTTTTGCAGAAGGCATCCAGAAATGTCTTCCCTGCACATCAGATTAGCCATGAAATATGGAATAAATACACAAGGTGGCACCAGAACAATGAAAAGGTTACTGTGGTCCTTCTGGCCGCCCTTATGTCCCTCAGCTCAACTTGACTGCAAAGGCCACTGGCTGTACAAAGCATTTGAAAACCAAAATAATACTGCTGCTCAATAGTGGTCAATGCTGCTACTGTACATTGGAAAGTAACTTAACTGTCTCATGTCCAGGCATTTCTCTCTTTAAGACAATCTGACAATTCAGCATTCCAGTGTCACTGAGGAGCCTGTTAAGCCTGACACATAGGTTAATGCAGGGAGTGAACTAACTGGAAGTTTGGGGAGCCCTCTTTTGGGTTTTGGCTTTGTTCCAATATAGCCTTGGCTAAGACATTTCCCCTTGTATGCCTCTTTAAAATGGTATAAGCATGTCTTGATAGGGCTGGAGAGATGGCTCAGTGGGTAATGGCATTTTCTGTGCAAGCATGAGAATCTGAGATTAGATTCCCAGAAGCCATGGAAAACGTTGGATGTGGCTGCACAGGCACCTATAACCTCAGTCATATGCTCCTCGGTGCTGTGTGAGGAGCGTGCAGAGGATCATTAGGCTTTCTGGCCACAAGCCTGGCTCCAGAGTCAGGGAGAAACCCTGTCTCAAAGGAATCAGGCAAGAGTGATAGAGCAAGGCACTCAGTGTCCTGCTCTGGCCTCCCTGTTATAGCATTCATGCACACAGAGACACACGTGGACTCAGAGTGTATACATGCACACACATGCAACTCACACTTGGCTTGACAGCAGTGATATATGCACAGAGAGATAACACATATATTTCAATCTGCTTCTTTTCTATGGGTATAAAACCTTTTCCAATGAAAAAGAACACAGAACTGTTTACAAATCAGAATGCACAATGTATGATGAAAGGAACCTTAGGTTTATGCATTCACCCCTTCAGCCCGCTTCTATCAAGTCGCTACTAATGACTGGCACTGACCCAGCACCGTGGCAGAACTGTTAGCAAGACATGGTCTCCATGTAGTTTCCAGTAAATAAGAAACCAGCACACAGGCAATTAACAATCATTGATAAAGACAAACTGGAAACCGAAAGAGGGGCACATAGACCTCTCAATTTTTATCTTATATAGCTTAAGTGTTTGATGATAAATATTTAAAAGAAACCAGAGATAAAACTGGAAAATTAATTGGAGGCTGTAATGATACTTTTAGAATCTTGAGCTGGAGGGTGCTACATAATTCACATTAATGTTATTTTTAATGAGGCTATATTCAGTGTGAGATGACCTGCCTTCAAGTCTCAGCCCTACATAAGCCCGTCTTTGTGACCTTGGGCAAGTCACACACTCTTCAGCTCAAACCAACCACTCAACAGAGATTTCTGATGCCCTTTGGTGAGACTAGCCATGTGCTGGGAGCTCAGAATGCGGTTATGAATCAGAAACATTTATTTTCTCAAAGAGCTGATAGTAATTCAAACTTCCTCACAAAGGGTTAGAGCAAGCATGAAAAGAAACAATAGCTGTTAACACACACAGCACACTGTTAGAGGCTGCACAATTACGAGCAATAGCAGTGCTAATAGTTATTAGGAACACTAATAATAAGTGCTCAGAAGGAGTATTAAAAAATGTGTAGAACATGGAAGACATTCATAATCCAGGAAGCAGTTGAATAAAATCATTGTGGCTCAAATCTCAGTGGCAGAGAAGCCGGTATTGAGTTCAGTTGTATGAAACGGCAATTCTCAAAAAACAGCATCTTAACCAGAGAGATGTTGCTTTCATGGCACTGAAGTCTGGAGGAAGCTGTCATGTTTGTTATGATGGCCTGACAATGCCTCGTTCTTGCATCATCTAAGGAATGTCCTTCACCCTAATGCTAAGAGAATAAAAAGCCAACCTCCAGTCATCCATCTGTATCGTAGGCAGAGGTAAAGAGGGGTCTGTGCAGTTAGGATATACCCAGCCCTCTCCATGTAGTAAAGACTATATTGCAAGTGTACCTCCTGTAGATTGTCTCTGTATCCTGGAGACCTTGCCTACATATCTAGCAGGTCCACGAGCCCAGCCATTTAACCTAGGAATCTACAACAGAGACTTCTATTTTCTCATTACCAATTGTTCCATCAGATAGGAATCTTGAATTTTAAGTTAAAAAAAAAGCCCAGATACAGCCTAAACAAACCTTAATATGGGGCTCAGACAGCATCGCCAGGACAAATTTCATTTTCCTTTTCCAGCTTTCTGTATTCATCAATCTTTTCCCCCATGTTGAGTGTCTTCATCAAATACCCCATCTAATGGTTACCAGGTAGCTATAGCATTAACTTTGGACATTATATCTTCTCATGTTCAAGAATAACACACAGAGAGAATCACATCTCTTACCCAATGCCCTTTCATGGGCTTTTGTTGATTTCCCACTCATTGTGAGCTAAGGAAATATAGGATTCCATGACTGGGAGAAGCTTAGGTCACAGGATAGTGCCCATTGGACTACAGTAATAGGGACAGGCAAGGGCCTCTGTACTAGGAATCAAGCAACCAATGACACTCTAGGAACATGACGGAACTGATGACTCTGGTCAATCCCTGTCTTTATTACTGTCCTTGTGAATGGTTTGGCCCAGGAGAAATTCTCACCCTGGACTCCCACCTACCTTCTTGACCATTACCAAGCTTATTTGTATAGACAAATATCTCTTGGCTCCTCTTTGTTTAACCATCATTAGTAGTTCTTGGGGCTTATAGAATAGTCCAGACTATAGCTCATGAGACTCTATAGCCCATGGGCCAATCTGATTTGCACCTGGTTTTTGTATGGTTTATGAAGTATGATTTTTACGTTCTTAGATGAGGGAGAGACAAAGAAAAGATGGATAGTATTTTCATGGCTTATGGAAATGATATGAAATTCAAACCCAAATCCATAAACAGAGCCTCCTTGGAACTCAGCCACGCTTGTTGATACTTCTAGTATCTGTGACTGGGTGTTGAAATACCAGATCTGATGAAATAGCTCAAGCAGCAAACAAGAATGTCTGGCTAGTTGCAGGGTCTTGGTTTCAACTATAACATGGTAACGTGATGCTTTTGTGATCTGGCACTTGGCCCTGCTCTCCTTACAGACCCCTAGACTGTCCCTGCTCCTACATATGTCTGTGCGCATTCATGCTGTCTCCTCTGCCTCTCTGTGCTTCCATGATCTGGTAAATATAACCTGCTTCATCGTGCTTCAGTTCAAGAATCAAATGACTTCTCCATGTTTTTTAGGTACCAGAAATGGCCTTTAGATGCTGTTCTGCTTCTATGGTCACTGCTTTCATGGCTTTGATGATTTGCAACTTTTTCCCCATTTCCGATGTATCACTGTCTTTTCTAAACACTAGTTACCTCTTTAAGAGCATTCCTGTAACAAGTTCTAGTGAAGGGCTACTGTGTTTAGGCGCTGTGCTAGGCATAGGGATGTAGTTCTGGACAAGCACTTTGTAATCTCGGAAGCCAGCACCTGAGTCCGTGTGTTTGGCAGGTACTGGGTACATAGTAAAGATCGACTAAGCAAGCACAGAGGACAACGGGCCCGTGAACGGTCAGCTTCATATATTCTTTATATGTGCACTCTAACAGTACTCTTTGTAGACCCTTTTTGTGAAGCAGCATGAGGAATGAGCTGGAGAAGGAATGCTGCTCTCTGGCCTTGACTTTCTCTAGCCTGTAAGAACGTTGAGATGGTTATTCCCTCTGCTTCCACAAGAACAATTAAATTAATCAAACAGGTAATAAAAGGGAATGGAGTATTATGCAAATGAGAAGTGGCACAGAAAACTGAAGTCGTTAATGCCCACACAATGCAATGTGCAGTGGGAATCAGGAAAACGAGTCGCATTCCGTGAGATCTCTTGGCTTTCTCTAGTTTCTCCTAACTCTTCCCCTTGCCCTACAGATGCTCAACCTGTTCGTGGCGGTCATCATGGATAACTTTGAGTACCTGACTCGAGATTCCTCTATCCTGGGACCTCACCACTTGGATGAGTTTGTCCGTGTCTGGGCAGAATATGACAGAGCAGCATGGTGCGTAGGCCTCTTGGCCACCTAGAGATCGGGGGCTTCTCGATTGGAGTTGCTCAAATGCCTGTTATGAAAGAGAAGGAAACCCCTCTGGGTTGTAGCTCATGGAAGAGAGGCACTGGTATTAAGCCATTCACCAAAGTCTTTTTCTTCCTGGGCTTCTATGGCAGGCTGTACCCTTGTTTGCCAATCTCATTATACCCCGATTGCTTCACAACCAGGGTAGCTTCCAACCTCCTTTTGTTGCCATGAGTTACCAGGGGCTGGGTTAGGGGTTTCTAGGTCAATGGGACCTATCAGGCCACCATGGTTAGTGGTATTAGTGTTTTCCTCCTCATTCCTCTCAGCAGATATGGTTGAATAAAACTCTGATATTATATTTCAAATAATCAAACAAGTGGTTCTTCCAAGTGTTACCCGCTACACTTGTGGGGTTCTATCACATGGAACCGAGTTAAAGGCAGGAGCTGGCAGGACTGACTTCTTTGCTGTCTTTCGCTGTCCAATAGTTCTGATGTGATATGACATTTAGACTTTAGAGCAGGGGTCAGCAAATCACCACCTGTCAATTAAGTTTAGCTCACTGCTTTAACAAATATGGTTTTATAGAGGCACGGTTACAGCCATTCATTTAATCTATCATCTATGGCTGTTCTTGCCCTAGAGGGAATAGTTGTAATAAAGGTGGTATGATCCTCCAGCTCAAAATGTTTACTATTAAAGTATTGTCAAAAAACTCCACGGTTACAAAAAGTCTTCTGACCCCTGCTGCAAAAACACAAACAGTGGTTCAGCCCTTGCTGTTGAGGACAGGAAGACATTCTATGACTGAAAAGCTTGGCTGACCCAGGTCAACTTAGCTTCTGGGTCTTCACTCACCATTCTACCCACTCTGGTCCCCTCTTACAATACTCCAGGAAACGCCACCCTTCCCAGGAGGGGACCATGTTGCTTCCACCTGACACTCCCTTCCTAATGTGCAATTCTTCCCCAAATCTACCAACCTGTGAAGCTGCTCTGCCTGGGTTAACTGTTTTCAGGGTGGTTGGGTGAATTAGAATTCCTTTCCCCTCTGCAGTAATGAGCTAGGGCACAGAGTTATGTAAATTCTTTCCTGGTACAGTGGCTAAGCAATAAATTTTCCTTGCTGAATTCAATCTCCAGCAGAAGGTTTTAGTATTCAACCGGCACTGTCTTAGAGGACAGTGATGGTAGGCCTGCATCTTATCCGTTCTCTCATGTTGGACAAGTTATGTAACCAGCTACCAAGTGATGGCAATGATGCCTGCCTAGCCTGGATTGTGTTTGTGAGCACGTTGTTACCTCATGCATGCTACTTTAGGGTAATTGACAAAAATGGTCTGTGAATGCCATTTGGGAATAAGGAGATTCACCATCTATAAAGCATAGACGGCCTTGATGCCGGATGCCTGTCACTCACCTGACTGAAGAGAAACTATCGCTATCAAAGGAGAGTGTTGCTCACCTAGCCTCATGCAGGTACCCCTGGATCCCGGAACCACGGCTTCCTTTGGTTTCATGTCTGTGGATCCAAATGCCAAGTGTGTTAAAGATACTCCTCCTCCATTTCAGTTGCTGAAAAGAAGCTCTGCCAGGACTAATCATAAGACTTGGTCATATGAACTCAACAAAAAGACAAACCCTTCTGTCATTTTGAATGTTTAGAGAATTAATACTTGTTCTGGTTACAGTTTAATTGGCCTCCTTGGTAGAATAAGGTTATTGAGAAGAAAACAACAAAAGTACTCGAGTGAGGGTCTTCATAAGAGGAACTGGCAACAGGTTGTAGAAGACATTAGCCTATGGTCACTTGTGAGCACTCTACATACTACTCTAAGAAGCAAAAATAAGTCGACACATGTCTACCTTCCATCCTGTTAAAGGATGAGACACTGGGACATACTGATGCACTACGGTCTGGAAGAATCCAGGAGAAATCAGCACCAAGTCAGGAAAAGGCTAGAAAGAGTGAAGTTGGAGAAAACATTAGCTTTGATGATGGCTCAAAAGGATGCTCAGATGGAGATAATGTGCTCATGGTTTCTATGAGAAACCCTGGCCTGGTCCAGGATGTGACTTCAGAGCCCATCGTGGCTTTTTTGTTTTGGTTCCTGACAGAGAAGATGTTTTACCCACTAAAAAGTAATCCTGTGTCAAAATTTTCCCTTTCTATGAGAAGCCAGAAGTCTCTAGAAGGTTCCTGGAAGACAAGGTTCGGAAAAAAAAAAATCAACTCTGGATCTTTAGTGGCGGGAATGGAGCTGCAGGGGAATGTTCCCAGGCTTCCACCCACATTGCTTTGTGGACATGGATCTCAGCAGGCTCCTGTGGAATGGGGCAGAGCTTACCCAAGCTGAACTCAGGATAATCTGCCACACAGAGATCCAAAGCCTTTTCAAATTCTCTCATGGAAATGCTGTTTCTTGCTAATGAGCTTAGTGGGAAATTTGTCTCTCACAATCTACAAAAAGGTGCTGACTGGTGGTCGTGAGTAACTGACTATAATCAGTGTGTGTGTGAAAGCAGAGAGTTTGATAGTTCACATGTGGGCAACCTGACATCTGCTCTGGACGTTGGTCAGAAACACACTGGCTGTCTTTTTTGCTCTTAGAAGTCTAGCTAGGGCTTGAGCTACTCAGGCCAGATGTGAGCCACAAAGATATCTCTGGGCACCGTAGGCATTAGGTAGCTCCTTTTGATACTAGATGGACTCTGATTTCCCAAGGGAAATTGCGACAGTAGTTTGGCAAGGCGGTAGTTCTCTGGGGCTCATTGTTCTGGTCTAATTCTGTCAAACACCAACAAACTGCTCGTACCTCTTTTGGGCAGTCCCGGCAGGGAGAGGCCGTCATTTCATCCCCACCCTTCTCTAATATCTTATTAACGCACCTGTGCTTTCTTTACAGCGGCAGGATCCCGTATAAGGATATGTACAAATTAGTGCGGGTGATCTCGCCTCCTCTGGGCCTGGGAGAGAACTGCCCCTACAGGGTGGCTTGCAAGGTTTGCTTCCCAGTCCTCGGCCATGACCTGCAGTGGGATGCAGCATCTAACCCTCTCCGCCCCCTGCTCCACCACCACTGCGCCACATGAGGGAACCTTCATGTTGCTTTCCTTTGAGTTTAAAGAGGCCCAAACCCTCCCAGACCCAGCAGCTGCTGTGCAGGAAGAAGGGCACTTTTTATGGTGCAGGCAGAAGAGAGTTGAGGACAATACGAAGGCCACTTGAGTAGTTTTTTTTTTTTCACACATGCGCACCAGTTTACCTTAGCCTGTACCTCTTACCGAAGGATCTCTCCCTTCTCCCGAATGTAGAAATTCTTTAGTCAGACAAAGGGTTTTCTGGTTTCCCTTCACCAGAGCTTCATTTAACCACATGAGTCAAAGTGTGAGTCTAGTCATCCTTCCCCTGAGAGCTTTTGCCACGGTCGGGTCAGCGATAGAAGCTATAGAAGAGAGAGGAAGAAGCGATAGAGAATTGGGTGGATTTGGAGGCCATGAGAGAATTTCACAGCACAGAGTCTAAAATGACCTCAGTAGACACCGAAGGACCGTGAATAGATCATTTGCCATAGGTTTCTGCCAGACACACTTGTAAAGGGTCTTCCATAATTGTCACGCCACTACTTGTTGGTTAGACCAACAGGTTCAGAGATACAAATTTGAACTCTGCCATACCCCAAATACTCAGTATCCTAGCCACTCTACCAAGCCCAAGACGGCTAGATAAGGACCCTGCTTCAGGAGCTATGGGAGGAAAGCAAAGCCCTGCTCAGGCAGCGGAAGAAGACCCGGGCTCAGGAAGCCTGTCTGCCTAGATGATGGCTGGAGCTGATTTGGGATGGTGACACTGAGTCTGAACTCCGGAGGCTGGACAGCTGCCTCTGCTGTCGCTCTTTAAACTCGATCCTAGGGAAACCCGCAGCCGCATGTGGGAGGGTAGCATGGCATGCGAGATGCTCTTCCTCCTCCTGGTTTTGTTTCTTCTGTCCCCAGCATGCCATCAACCCTGGTGCATGCTGGGGAATAAAGAGCACTCTTCTTCACGGAGCCAGGTGGAAGCAACAGGGCCGACTTTCTGACCAGCAACCTCAGCCCACCACTTTCAACGCAAGCCGCCGCCTCCCGCTACACACACACCACAGAGGGGGGGATACACGACGTTCTGCCTGTGGGTTCAGGGTAGGGGAAGGGCCTGACTTCTGGGCCAGCATCCCAGCCCCAGTAGGGGCCAGAAATTCCCACCCACGGCTGGAGCACCGTCTATCCGGTTTATACCGCTCACGCACAGCCCTGGGAATTGAAGACATGTTTGTGTTACTTTGCGGGTAGATGCAGTGAACTACAAAGCCAGTGCAGAACGAACCAAGGAGGAGAAAGTGAGCCCCACCCCTACCCGTCAGCACCTTCTGACAGTGTCAGAGGGACCAGAGGTTGTGACTAGCGTTCCCGGGTCTGTGTGGGGCGTGATATAAATCTGCACCAGGACGGAGTCACTTGTATGATTTGCCTTGATTAACAGGTTTCCTGTTCTTTTCCTGTTTGTCCATTTTGTTTTTGTTTTTTTTCTTCCGTTTCCTGTATTAATTTGTTTTGGCTCTCTGGGAATGCTGTTCCTCTCTCCTACCTGTCTGCATCCTTCCTTTACCACTTTTCCCTTTCCCGGCCACCCCTCCTGCCCTGCCCGTCTCCTATCCCTACTTACCCCCCCCCCCATGAGCAGTGGCCGCATCCATTACACTGAGATGTATGAAATGCTGACTCTCATGTCACCACCGCTAGGCCTCGGCAAGAGATGTCCCTCCAAAGTGGCCTATAAGGTAGAAAACCCCTTCCTTTGTTCTGGGCTAGAGACCGACAGGAAATGGGATCCAGTTGTGGGGAGGACAGACGATGGGAGGAAGCTGGGTTGGGGAGGTGGCAATGGGACTCGAGGATTGAAGAGTCAGGAAAGGGTCCTGAAGATGCAGTCATGAAGGATACAAGAGTGGTTCTAGTGCTGTTCCCCGTGGACTGTTCACTGTGTTACTGTGTTTCTACACGTGTGTGGCTTCTTGTGAGTGGGCTACTAGAAAGGCGCTGCTAAGTGGTGTGTTTCCTTTAAAAGGAGGCAGAGTGGTGGCCAGGGAAATAGTTGGATGGGCAAGAAAGAAGCCCATGACAAAAGAGCCAGGAAAGCTTACTGAGAAAGAAATGGTTTCACTCAGAAGCTAGGGGGATAATGGAATAATCCTTAAGGATCGTTCCACAGGAAAATTGTAGAAGGAAAACTCCCAACAAATGTCTTCCCCCTGTGATGACATAGCTTCCTTCTAGAGACAAACACAAAAGAGGAATACGTCTTCAATTTTATGATTAACAGGAATGCAGCTTTCATACCCCATTGGCCAGCTACCCAGTGCCCTTGAGAGGGCAAAGATGGGCACAAGATGTGTTCAGTATTAGCTTTGCCTTCTTAAGCATGACCAGGTGGTGGGTAGATTGCTCGTGGTCGTAGAGCATCGTCCACTGGGAGTTATCAAGCTTTGGGGCCAGGAGTTTTCTTCTGTCAGTGCTAGCTCCCCGATAGTGTCTAAGTTGGCCAAAAACTCCAGAGCTTTTTCACTCACCTGGACATACATCATAGCAATGTTGCCACTTCTCTAGAAGTGGGAGGGATGAGACTCGGAAACAGACAAGAAACAACCTTTACACTCTAACACACTGTGTCTGTGGAGTTGCTTTAGGCAAGATGATACAACCGAGTATTGGAGAGCGTGGTTGGTGAAAGACATGCTCCAACCACCACCACCAACTACCATCAACCATTACCCCCAACCACTGCCACAACCACTGCCACCAGGACCCTTCTGCTGTTCTCTGCAAACTGTATTTCCCCAGAGAACATCTCACTAGAATGTAGTTCTTAGGAACCCCCTCCACCCCAGTGCGTGGCTGCTCGTACACAGCACAGGGAATAGTATTTTTTGACACCCATAAGTACCACAATGAGAAATGAATTTGACTTTCTGGGGTGAAACTTGATAGAATGCATTGGGAGAGGCATGGGAGGAGAGTTTTACAGAATTCTAAAAGCAGGATATCTCTGAGAAGTGGATTTGGCCATTTCAGTTGGATCCCTTCCTCTGGGTGAGGGAAACAAGGCCTGCCCACTCTGCTCCTGCCTGTACCCCCTTCTCTCACTCTGTCTTCCCTGCTTTCCTCGTTCACCCTCCCCTAGAGCCTGTTTGCACTCCCCCCGCCCCGCCATCCTGCTCCTCCTCATCCCTTGGACCAATTGGACTTTCTGCATGTTCAGTCATGTGCTGGCAAATTCCATCCTTTAAAGACTCAAAAAGGGGGCACTAGGATACATCTTTCAAGTGAGATACGCAAGGCCAATTCTATCCCTATCTCTCCATTGAATTTGGGGGTGTTCATTGGACAAGTAGAAATAGAGCGCACCCCTGGAGCAGGGAGTGGAGCCACCTCCCAGAGCTGACTCCCTTCCCATCCCAATGGGAGATACTCTTTGCACTCCCCATGGGAAGGGATTCTACAGAGTGATTGGGAAACCCCTTTTCCTTGTAATTTGGCATCATTCCCTAGATAAACTAGCAGCGAATGAGCTTTGTGTGAGAAGTAGGGAGAACCAGGCTGGGATGCAAATGGGGAATCCTTGCCCTTCTTTTTTGTCTGTGCACTTGACCTCTGCACTTTCCTTCATTTTTTTTAAACTTTTAAACCAGGGTGTCTTTCAATATATTTGTTTTTTGCTTGCTCTTTCTCTTTTTTCTTTCACACAGAGGTTGGTCCTGATGAACATGCCAGTGGCTGAGGACATGACAGTCCACTTTACCTCCACACTTATGGCTCTGATCCGGACAGCCCTGGACATCAAAATCGCCAAAGGTCAGTTTAGTAGGTGAAGGAGAGAGGAAAGGGGAGGCGGTTATAACCTGAGAAGCTGCTATAAGATGGGACAGCTGAACTGCAGTCTAGCTGGCCATGCACCCAATAATGCACTGACCTGATTTTACCTCTAACTCAGTAACTTTAGACTTGCCCTTTCTCTGGTAAAAATAAGTGACTTGGTACTCCATGCCTGACATATATAATAGCATTCCAGATATAATTCTGTAATTTTTCCCATATAGCATCTTTTCTCTACAGTCTTGGAAGGCTTCATAGTGGACACTGCAATGCTTTGCCTGTTATGATTGCTAATCCAGTGGTCTGGAAAGGAAGAGAAGCAGTCTATGACATCTATAAAGACTTTTTAGCCTGCCTTCTCCTGCCTTTTGAAAAATCAGATCACTTAGATTGTATAGTTAGGGTCAATGGGAGGAATGATGTGTATTAATGAGGCAGGAGTCTTCTTTATGGCTGTCTTCATTTCCTTCTGATGTATTGAGCACCTGGGAGGCTGTTAGAATCAGTGAGGAAGTTGATCTTGGCCTCAGCCTCAGATCCCTGAGGAAGAATATGCCTCCGTCACTTAAAATAGGAGCCAAGGTGTATTCTGCTTCCTCAGCAGAAATGCTGGTGTTGCAGATCCACTGTGCAGATTCACTGTTCACTCAGTGCCAAGGTTTCCTCTCATCATGGGAGGTGCCATGCTGATTCAGCTCCTGCCCCCACCTACTCCCCAGTCGTCATTATTCTGTGTCAGTTATGATTGGGTTATTAATAATTCATATTATCCTAGGTGGTGCAGACAGACAGCAGCTAGACTCGGAGCTACAAAAAGAAACTCTGGCCATTTGGCCTCACCTATCCCAGAAGATGCTGGATCTGCTTGTGCCCATGCCCAAAGGTGTGGTGGCTCCTCCTTCTGATTGTGCTCGTCACTGTGGCCCAACATGCCAAGGCCACATCTTTTAGGGAAACCAGAATGATCAAGGAGACAAAGGGATCATTCCATTGCCATTAGCAAACTAAGTCCTCACTCCTAAAGTACTTTTTTTTTTATTGAAAAAAAAAAATTTCTGCCTCCTCCCCCTCCTCCCACTTTTCTCCCCCTCCCCCTACTCCTCTCCCCCTCCCTCTCCAGTCTGACTGCTCTGAAGTACTTTTTAATCACAACTAATTAAAACTAACTTCTTAAGCTGAGTCACTGTGGTTGTGAATGGCATTTTCTGGGTACATAGCTCTCTCCTTCCACATGAGACTGTTCAGTAATCCCTAGTACATCTGGGGAAATGTGTTGCTACTTGGACATGAATATCTAGAATGATATAGGAGGTAGTACTTATTAATATATTTCATAGTATCCAGTACTGTTAGCACCGCCGTCACTGCAAGGATCTCTTCACTCTGTATCCTCAGAGCCCTAATAAGCACTAGATGAATGAGTGGCTCAGGGTGTAAGTTTGCTTTGGAGAGTGGGTAAGAAAGCTTATGCCTACCTGCATCCTCTCTGTTCATCCTGTGAGTGGGTAAGAAAGCTTATGCCTACCTGCATCCTCTCTGTTCATCCTATGTTCCACTTGTGCTTTTAGCCTCTGACCTAACAGTGGGCAAAATCTATGCAGCAATGATGATCATGGACTACTATAAACAGAGCAAGGTGAAGAAGCAGAGACAGCAGCTGGAAGAACAGGTGAGGATCAGTGATGGTATATTGAATGGGTCATGAATAAACACAGGTTTCTAGGGGGGGCAGGCAACATGTATCCCTCCCTATAAAGTACCCTAAAAGGTGACAAGGGGCTGGGGGAGGGGTCCATGAAATTTGTAGTGTTGTGGGATTAGAAATTTGGTGAATTAAAAGGTTGAGAAAGTCAAACAAGAACCCAATCGTCTTTCTTTGTTGCTCATGTAAGCTATGGTCTTCTCAGAGCAGTCCCCACAAAGTCATGGGAATTGTCTGTCTCAATACAGAAAAATGCACCCATGTTTCAGCGCATGGAGCCCTCATCACTGCCGCAGGAGATCATCGCTAATGCCAAAGCGCTGCCTTATCTCCAGCAGGACCCTGGTTCAGGCCTGTGAGTAAGACCCAAGGGTCCACAGGACTCCTGCCTGCATTCTGTCACCACTGGACATGGTCCAGAAATCACACACTGGGAGTCAGTTCTTTTTCTGGGGCTGACTTTCTCAGAATGGCTCATCAGGAGTAAGATGAAAGTGAAATCAAGAGTGTGTAGGCTGCAGCCAGCGACAGGACGGTAGATGAAGGTTCCGAGTTGTGTTATAATACACTAGCACCTTAGCTATAGTTCTGTTGTGAAGGATTGCCATCTCTCAATGCTTGGCTGTCCCCTCTCCATGGGGCTAGTGTCATGGCTCTGTGATTGATGAACATAAAAGGGAAAGAGAAGCAACAGCCACTGGATTCTTTGCTCTAGGCTGAGAGTTCTAGGGACAGTATTTGCTTACCTAAGTTTGAGAGCTTGGTGTGGGGTAGTAGGGGGTGTCCTCAAGGAAGAAACAGACTCAAAAGGTGCGACTGTGGTAAGACACCTGTGTTGGCTACTCTTGGGTTATGGGTGCTACACAGAGGGCATTCTAATCCATGATAAAAATATTCAATTTTTGTCTTAAAATAATGGGGCTTTATGTTTCAGAGTGACATGATTAGATCTGTGCTTTTCAAAATTCATTTATGAATTCAGTGTAGACTTAATAGTTCACTATTAAGGGAAAATTCTAGAGATGACATCATTTAATTGCTTGCTGCAGTTATATAAAGTATCAATGGCAATGGCTTGGACATTGGGCAGGCAAGGTATTTAACAGGGAAGAAAGATTTAGGAATAGGTTTGCTACATGGAGTGAAAGAGGGAGGGAGAGGAATGAAGATGACTCACGTGTTTCTGGTGTAAACCTTTGGAAGATATTGCTATAGGCCCGTTGCTCTTTAGAGCCATGCATTTTGAGAGCCAGAAATTAATTATAGAGATTACAATGGTGACCATGGTAGACATAGCTCCCTTCTCCCCAACAAGTGATCTTGCATACAGGGAAGTCAGACTTTAAATAGAAAAGCTGCCAGGGGAAAACAGTTGTCATTTTCAAGTACAATTGTGATAAATTCCAGAAGGAAAATGAGTAGCAGGGTATGAAGGCACATGAGAGTTCTGATGGATTACTGGACATCTAGAATTGATAAAGGAGAGGATCCTTTGTTTGTCCCAGTCGCCCAGCTAGCTTACACCCGAAATAACCACACAGAGGTCTATATTAAGGATAAACTGATTGGCCCATTAGGTCAGGCTTCTTATTAACTCTTATAACTTAACATTAGCCCATTATTCTAGTATATGTTAGCCACATGGCTCAGTACCTTTTTCAGCAGGGCAGGTCACATCTTCCTGCTTCTGTGTCTGGGCAGGACTGGGGAGGAATGAGCTTCCTATTTTCCAGAATTCTCCTGTTCTCATTGACCTGCCTCTACTTCTTGTCTGGTTGTCCTGTCTATACTTCCTGCCTGGCTACTGGCCAATCAGTGTTTATTTAAAACGTAATTGACAGAATATAGACAATCGTCCCGCACCATAGAAGAAATAACTTTTAGTAAGGAAAGTCCAAAGTACATGGAAAGAGTATTGTTGGGAGCAGATGTACCCTGTACTGTGGGAACAACCTATATTAAAGTTTTTAGTAGAAAGAAAGCCTGGTTATTACTACTTTCAACAAACTTAAAACAGCTTGTACATGGAATTCTGGGAGCAAAGGAAAGCCAAAGGAAAATGCTGGTGAGGTAGGAACAAGAGTCTAGGGGAGGCCATGATCCTGTATTTTGAACAATTTCTTAAAAACAAGAACTTCACAAGGTTTTTAAAGCACTCAATTCAAATTATTTAACTCTGTGATATTGCTCTGTGATTCTAAAGGTTCTGCCACTATTTCTTCTGTTTTCTAACAAAATAATTCAGACTAGTAGTTTATAAAGAATTATTTGGATAATAATTCTGAGTCTTGGGGAGCCCAAAAGTATGGTGCCTATATCAGGTGAGGACCTTTTTGTCACATGTGTGGGATGAGACAGAATAGGCTTGCGAACATAGTTGTTTGGACCTAATGTAGCATGGGGGTTTCACCTTCATGACCTCTCCCAAGTGTTCTGCTTTAAATAACATTAGCATATAACTTTAGTAATGAAATTTCCAACACATTAACTTTTAGAGACTCAATGGAAGCCATAGAAGGTTTTCTCTACCTATTGAAGAACCAACTGTTCTCTGTGGTACTAACAGGGGTCCATGCTATATACTTGCCTTGTCCATCTTGTTACCTTGGTTTTCAGGAGAAGGCAAATGGATGAGTGAGTGGCATTTAGACAGGTGACTTAAATATGAGATGACTCTATGGGAGTTGTAAAATTCAGCTAACATTCTCACTGCCAGAACACCCATTAGGTTATTCTCTGCTATTCAAACCTTCTCCTTTAATGCTAATCTAGTAAGTCTGAGCCTACAGATTATTTTAAAGTAACTTGCAATTCTTTCAGTTCTCTAATTCTCTATGGGATGCAAAGTCCTTGGCCATAGACTCTTATGAGATGGGCCTCCCTAGAGCAGAACACTGGTGCTTGGAGAGATGGTGTATCATCTTATAGTGCTATGACTTTATAGCTCTGGCCTGCCCCTCTTCCCATAGTCACAAGGGCTCACTCCTGGTTAGGACAATGGAATCTGTTACTGCACTGAAAACAGTGAATGGCAACAGAAGCCAATTTTGCAGGGAACATCAACTTGGACATGATTGCATAGGAATCAATCCATGCTATTCTCTGTACCTTTCACTTGGCAGCTTTGTGTTCCGCCCTACCTCATCACCATTTAAACATCCTCCCATACAGCAATCAACCCAAGGGTCTTTGCTTCTCAACCACCACCTCTGAAATCATCTCCCAGCGCATGAGCCAAAAGATACAGTGAGCAGCCCAGAGGAACCCTTTAGTAAATGTTAACTCATCCAAGTCAGTTCCATTGAGTTTCGCCATGCATGCTGGCACAATAAAACCATTTTACTGAAAGTGGTTTTTTTTTTTTTTTAAGACTATGACTGCTTAATATTTAAACAAGCTGTTCACTGTTTAAACTCTGGCTTTTTTTTCTGCCCAATAGGGAAACTCAACAGAAGCAGGTTTACAGTCTAGCACTGGTCTTCCATATGGCTGAGTGTGACAAATGGTGTCATTTGTCACAGATATGCTGGTCGCCAGCAGAATGATGAATGATTCCAAGCGCAGGTTGAAAACACCAGTTTCTATGTTTTCTTACACTTTCTTAAACATCTTCTGTTCTAAGACCAGCCACCTGCAAGTCAATAGACTCATAGACCAGCTGAGAGCGCAGGGTGCTGCCCTTGTAAGAAGGAGGGCTCCTATGGGAAGGGGTTTGTTAGTGGAAGTTATGGCATGACTGTTTCTGTCTCTCATCGCCTCTGAATTTGATATTGCTTTTCAGGAGTGGTCGGAGTGGATACCCTTCAATGAGTCCACTCTCCCCGCAAGAAATATTCCAGTTGGCTTGTATGGACCCTGCTGATGATGGACAATTCCAGGAACAGCAATCTCTGGTGAATGAATGAGTCTATGACCTAAGAAGTATTTCCTGATCCTTCTCACGCTTACTTTCATCCCTCTCTTACCCAGTTTCTCCTGTTCACTGAGAATGCTCCCTCTAAAGGTTTCATAGCCCAAGAGGGCTCTTCCTTCCTGCAGGAACTTATGTTTCTTTAGGCCAAGCCCTTTTAACTTAACAGATTTCGGAGCAAATATTATATATAAAATCTTGCCTACAATAGCAAGGCTTTAAGATACTCTCATAGTATCTGCTCATATTGTATAGAATACCACTATATAATTGTATAGTAGTATCTGCTCATATTGTATAGAATACCACTAAGTGCTGCTTATGGAAATATAGGATGCCCCTACATCCTTGAGGGAAGCCCGCCTCCTCTAATACTTAGTGGCTGCATCTGCAACAATGACTAGCAGTCCACCAGGACATACAGAAGATGGCACCACTTTTGCCATGTGTGGGTTCAGGCAGATTTCTTCCCTTCAGTTATAATTCTACAAGGCCACACACTCAAAAAGCCCCTAAAGTCATTTTCCTGAGGTCAGCGTAAGTTTTTTTATTAGTCTAGATGGTACAATTTCTGAGAACCCTAACAAGTAAAGTTCAATCTTGAAGAAGAGAGTACCAGTTAAGATTTTGTCTTTACTAGTGCAAAAGCAAAACCTGATTGCCAAACTAATCAGTTTTGCCATTATTCCATCTTTGGGAGTTAAGAGTCCCAAGTTTTTTCCAGGCTTAATTGGAGAGAGCAAGACAAAACCTAGTTTTTGCGAATGTCTGCACAGAGAACCAGCACTAAGTGAGCCGAGCCTCATTACTTTATGGTTCATAGGTGACTTTGTTCTCTCCTTTATCTCACAAACCATTCTTGCTACTACTATATATCCCAGAGCCATGCCAAATGAGCGGTGTGTGTGTGTGTGTGTGTGTGTGTGTGTGTGTGTGTGTGTGTGTGAGAGAGAGAGAGAGAGAGATGGAGTAGGTTTCCTACAGAGAGGAGTGGCTCGCCTAGGTAATTCTGTCATCTCTGGTTGCTGAGACAGAGGATCTTGAATCCGTTATATTGGAAAGGTAGCAAGGTCAGGTATCCTAGAACACCAAACAACTGCCCCAAGGGTGTTCTTAATAATCACCCTCTTTCCTAGCTGTTTTAGCACTAAAACCTAGGGACTAAACTGGTATGGATAGTTTGAGTCTGAAAATTCCTCTCAGCACTTTATTGAGATTTTTCCACCACATCTATCAACTCGGCATAACGTGGTCTTTCTTTTTCCCCCCAGGGACACTTTACCTCATCATTTGTGTGGGTTTTCCCAGGCTGAGCTGTAGTGCCAGAACTTTCTGGATTTGTGTTCATCTTGTCAGTGCCGGTGTCTGTATCTGAACTCAGGTGTCAGCCATGCCACACACTCACCACTGTGTGCCTCTGCCCATCCCTCTAGGTCCCTGCTCCATGTCCTGAGGCGTGGCCATGATCTGTGTGTGTGTGCATATGGAGTGTGTCTCGCTGCCTCTGGCACCTGTAGACTACAGTGTCTTTACTGCATCTGTTTGGAGTTGGAACTGTGTGCACAGTATCACATGCACTACAAATGTTGTGGCTCCCTCAAGTGCATCTCACATGCCCTGGAAAGGTCCCTCTTCCCAGCCACTCCAGTAGCCATAAAGTTGGCTGGCCACCCCAGGTTTCCCTTTCTTTGGGTGCTGACCTACTTAGGTATTTATACCATAAACTATGGGTATGTAAATATAAAATGACATTTTTATAGAATAATCTCTAGATGTCAAAGATTTTTTTTTTGATCTCTTCGTGGTTAATGTGATCATCAACAAGAAGTTTCAGAATTTATACAGCAACACAAGTTATCCTTATTGCAAACTTATGTTCTTTAACCAACACTTTCCTATCCAACCTTGTAACACTTTGGAGGGGCACATTTGAATACAATAACAGCCACATGGCTGATGAACAATTGAAATATTATGAGTACAAATGAAATGTACTAATTATAAAAATGAATTCTTATGTGTTGGTGTGATGATATTTGGATAGATGAAGTTAAATAAAATCATAATGGAAAGATTTTCTACATCACATATCATAGACATGGTTTAGATTACATTTCTATTGACCTAATTAGTAGATCCCTGAGAGAGCTTATCCATGACATTCTCGGTGGCTTTAATTACAGAACTCATAAGTTATATACATGAATTAATTCATAACATGTTTGCTCTTAGACACTGAATGACTTTCTGTCAAATCCTAGTTCCTATACAACTGATAAAAGGATTCTTCAAAGAACAAAGACAATAACAACACCTATCAAAAATATAATTTGCATATATAAAGCATCCAGTGAGCAGAAATGTTTGTTTGATAAAGTTGTACTACCTGAACTTCTGTTTCAAAGATGGCCTTCACCCCGTCATCCCAGTTAGAGCCTTCTGTTTGAGATATCTGGCATCACACATGTACAATTAGGCACACATATGCACATAAATACATATATCCTCCTACAGTCAGGGCCTCCTAAGCATCAGTCTCCCTTCTAAAAATTATTCTTATCCACGGGGGCTGAATCATCTCCTGGAGGTGCGAGACAATGGGATGGAACCAAGTCCCACAAGCTTGGCTGTGTGTTTATTTCCAGGAGCCAGAGGTTAGTGAATTAAAAAGTGTGCAGTCCTCTAACCATGGCATCTACCTTCCTCCGGACACCCAGAAGCATGCGGGATCTGGGAGGGCATCCTCTATGCCACGACTGACTATGGACCCCCAGGTAAAACTCAAGACCACACACCTTATGCAGTGGCATCCCAGGCTTTAATTAAGTGGGTTATGAAATACCTGATATTTTCAGGTAAGCCCTGGACTTTTTCTCTACCTCTTGCCTACATGCAAAACGCAGCTTATGGACTATTTCTGATAAAGTCTTCTCTATATTGTGTTTGTAGCAAGGCCCTGCCTTCAAAAGTCTAGTCAATAAAATAGTATTAACTTCTCCTGCACTGGGCTAAGCATTCTCAGGACCCAAGCAGCCAAGCAACCAGCATTTTTCTCTATGTATTTTCCCATCCCTTTTTTTCTCTCCCCAGCCCCTTCAGCACATCTGAGTTATTTGTCCGCACCGCTTTATGTCAGGACTGTCTTATCCAGTGCAAGCCACGCCTCATTTCTTTGTCTGTTTCCTTGGCTTCTTTGTCTGTCTTACATGAAGTTTTGACAGAGACAAGAAGTTTTTGTGGATCTGTTCTAACACCTGTGGCAATCCAAAGTTGGAAGGGGCTATGGGAGGCTAGGGTGGGGGGGGGGGTCATGACAGGAGGGTGGTTCTTCCTTAATGGTTAAGTTACAAGCTTTCCTAGGCTAGGGGGCTATAGGGCAGAACCTTATCTGTTGAATAAATAATGAAAGAAAAAAACCATGTTTCCCTCAGAATATAGTCTTTGGACAATCGCTATCACCTGGTTCAAAAGTGACTGTTTACAGTAGGTCCTGACTAAGCCCCTGTAGAACATAGTTCTAAGAGACATTTGCACAGTGCCAGCCCGAATTCTGCACAGTTAGTAGACTCATCTGCTTTATTCACAAAAACAAGGAGACAACTGAGGGCACTCTCAGTGAGTGTAGCTGAAGCAGGACACGTCTTCCTTTATAGCCAAGGATTTTGCAAGGCAGATTCAAGGGAGGTGACAGTTTTTCCAGAGGTCATATAGTTCACAGTTTCTAAGAGTGTTAGTCCCATGTCTGGATTTTCAGATTCTATCAATAATTAATTCAGACTTGTGTTCCTCTGGATTTTTTTTCCTTTCTAGGTGGTAACAGACCCTAGTTCTATGCGACGTTCATTTTCTACAATTCGGGATAAGCGTTCAAATTCTTCATGGTTGGAGGAGTTCTCCATGGAGCGTAGCAGTGAAAATACCTACAAGTCGCGGCGCAGAAGCTACCATTCCTCCCTGAGGCTGTCAGCCCACCGCCTGAATTCTGACTCTGGTGAGAGGGTCACCTTTAGCACCTGTCCTTTTTCTTGGCAACTGATGGACTTTTTTTTTTTCAAGGATCAGAAATGACTGGAACATGGTTTAGATAAAGACCAGGGTTTAAGAAAGCAAAGCAAGGACTGGCTGGCTGGCTCATGCTTGAAGAGCTTGCTATGCAATTGTGAGACAGGCATTCAAACCCCTGACCTTACAGAAAACTGGGGCCCTGCAGTGCAAATCTGCCATCCCAGGTTCCTCCGGCAAGGTGGCTGCTGCTGTTCTTGAGTGTGCAGCTGCCAACAGTAGAGACACAACAAGGCACTGTCTCAGACCCAGCGCAGAGCTAAGACCAGTTCCTCAGACCTGCACATGCACATTGGGACACACAAAATGAAAGGCGATGCTCCTTGCCAAAGTGCATCGCTACCTCTGAGTTGTCATCCTGTGGCACACCCTAGACAAATGCCAATGTGACTCATCAAGGTTTCCAATTAACCTCCTCAGAAATGCTCCAGATTCCATAGGAATATAGTAGAGGCCACGCCTGCCCTAGTCCCCAGGCCCCACCCCCAACCTGCCAAAGGTGCTGAGCTCTGCCACCAGCTTCAACTTTCCCTATAGTACTATCTGGAATTGTTTCAGACACTGGGTTTCATTTAAAACCTCTCTGTATGCTTTTCTGATTTTTAAGTGTTAAGAAACCATTCGTCTCATTCTGCCTACTTCGCTAGGTGTAGGAATCAAACTTGAAGAGAGCAGCATTAAGACTAGAATGGAAACCTCAACATTAAATCCCAGGCTTCTCATCCTACCGTTCTATTACACGGGCCAGCATTTCCTTCACAGAACCTTCTCAGTTCCCTTCCTGGTGTGGGATACAGATAACTCCTGCACTGCATTGATTTACTGGCAGAGACACTGTTTACTGTAGCTGGCATAGAAGGGAGCTGAGAAAACAAATTATTCTCATTGATGCATGTCTTCTCAATGATTCCTTGGGGACTTTCTTGCTCACGAAAGAGGACTTTTCTACCCTTTCTTTCCCATTTCTCTTTCATTTCCTGTCAAGTCATCTGTTCATCTGCCCGAAGAAGCTAGGCTACTTCAGTCAGTTCAGGAAGCCAGGAAACCTAAGATCAAGATGAGAGCAGTGTCTGGTGGGGACTCTTCCTGGTTTTCAGATGGCCCTCTTCTCATTAGGCCCTCACAGGGTAGTCAGCAGGGAAGGGAAGCCAAGTGTCTCTGGGTACTTATTCCATAAGAGCCCTGCTTTCCTGAACTGGTCACCTCCCAAAGCCTGTTTGTCCCCATTCTCCTGGAGGTTAGGATTCAGTCCTGAATTCTGAAGGGACACGATCAAGATCAATTCACAGTGGCATGGTCCCTGGCCTGGAGTCACCAACCGGAGTGAGCTGAATAATAAGTACCCGTTGTTTTCTTGTCACCTTCCACAGGCCACAAGTCTGACACTCACCGTTCGGGAGGCAGGGAGAGAGGCCGATCCAAAGAGAGAAAGCACCTTCTCTCCCCTGATGTCTCCCGCTGCAATTCTGAGGAGCGAGGGACCCAGGCTGACTGGGAATCCCCAGAACGACGCCAGTCCAGGTCACCCAGCGAGGGAAGATCACAGACCCCCAACAGACAGGTGAACATGAGAAGCAGGGTCAGGGAGGGGAGGGTTCTGTACTAGGAGGGCCTCTTGGAGCTCAGAGCCCGATGTTTAACCAGAAATAACCTCGGTACACAGAGGCTGGCTCTTCTGTGCTTGGAGATTCAGAGGTGACAGGAACTTAAAAGAAGCAAGATTTCCCCCTACGGAAGTCAGTCCGTGCCTGTCCCCAGAATCAGGATATACAAATTTAGCTAGACTTAACAAAATAAAGCTGGTCCTTCAGCTAAAAAGGTTTGGCTCTGGTGTGATCCTCGTATTAACTGTAGTGACGATTCATCTGTCAAGTCAGGGTTTGTAAGGCAGACAGCTCAACCAAGCTCACCTATTGTGCGGCCTTATCAAGAGAAGGAGCATGTCTCACCTCTCTATGCCTAGGAAACCTCAGCCGTGTGACAGTAGTCTTTGTATTGTCCCTCTCTCCCAGTCCTAGCTCTGGAGGGGAGTTCCTGGAGTTCAGAGGGGGGACTCCTTTGGAAATGTCGATTCTGAGACATGGCCGTAGCTTCCAAACAGTATCACCGCTGAGCCAGCCCTGTGCTAGCACAGCAGATTCCTGGGACTTTAAGAAATCCAAGGAGACTGGCTTAAAAGTCCAAGCCAGAATTCCACACTTGAAAGGACTCCACCTCAAAAGAACCTCACTGGAGCCTTGCAGGTCCCCCACACCTTGAGAGTCCAGTGCTAGAACGCATTTGCCAACCCTGGGCTCGGGTACTATTGATAGGGAATAGGTAAGGAAGGCAGCTAAGGGCTGAGACAACAGACAATGTGTGGAAGCCAAGGGCCTCAAGCCACTGCTGACGGAGAAGGAAAGGAGTTTGCTTTTCCTTAGAACTCATTTTCCAGAACAGTTTCCCAGACAGCAAATCCGAGCATTGTTTTGCCTAGAATTTTAAGGTATTCCTGTGTGCCCTTCTTATACAGAGTTTCCATTTCCTGGCTAGCCACCTGAGTGTTATGGTCACAGCTGTAAGTTCAAACAAATGCCGAGGCTTAACCATAGCCCTGCCCTTCTAAGACTGCCTCGGTAGTTGAGTTCCAGAGATTTGTCTTTACTGCAGAAGTTGAAATGCTCTGGTCTAGATGTCTTCCATTCACTATTGACCTGAACCCCGAGTCCTTGAAGGGTACAAGTAGTACAGCCTACCTCTCAGACCTCCTCCAGAGACTCAAGAGCTTTCTGCAGGAGAGGTTGGGACTTCAAGAGGGCCCCACGTGGAGGCGCTTCCATGCCTCGTCTAATCTGTCATGTTTCTCCCGCGCTGCAGGGCACTGGTTCCCTGAGCGAGAGCTCCATTCCCTCCATCTCTGACACCAGCACTCCAAGACGAAGTCGTCGCCAGCTCCCACCTGTGCCACCAAAGCCTCGGCCCCTCCTCTCCTACAGCTCCCTGATGAGACACACCGGGGGCATCTCTCCTCCTCCTGATGGAAGTGAGGGTGGCTCCCCGCTGGCCTCTCAAGCCCTGGAGAGCAACAGCGCTTGCCTGACCGAGTCTTCCAATTCCTTGCACCCCCAGCAGGGCCAGCACTCTTCCCCTCAACACTACATCTCCGAGCCCTATCTGGCCCTCCACGAAGACTCCCACGCCTCAGACTGTGGCGAGGAGGAGACACTCACCTTTGAGGCAGCCGTGGCTACTAGCTTGGGCCGCTCCAACACCATCGGCTCCGCCCCACCCCTGCGGCACAGCTGGCAGATGCCTAACGGGCACTATCGGCGGCGGAGGCGTGGGGGGCCTGGGCCTGGCATGATGTGTGGAGCTGTCAGTGACCTCCTCAGTGACACGGAAGAAGATGATAAGTGCTAGAGGCTGCCATCCCCTCCGATGCATGCTCTTCTCTCACAGGGAGAAAACCAAGACCAAATTGGGAAGCCAGTGCGGCCCGGGGGGAGGAAGAGGGAGAAGGAAGATGGAGGAAGGACGCCATGCATCCTCTGAAAAGAGGAAGTAAAAGACAGATGGAAAACCAGTCAAACCCACCAATTTGCTTTATTTCCCTTTGCAAGATGGGCACTGCCATAGTCCTGCCTCTTTGCTGGGGAAAGAAAATACAGGGATGTGGGGGGTTATTCCCATGGGAGAAGGGACACAAAGGTGGCTTGGCTTCCCTTGCCCCTTCCCACTTTTCTATGAGCTGCAGCAGGATCTGGCTGGCCTGTGTCTAAGCTCATTGCCCTGAGCAGCTGGGAAGACTTCCTGGCATCTCATCGCAGGAAGAGTGGAGACAGTAGAAGAATCTCCGTGCCAGTTCTTGCGCTTTGGCTGCCCCCAGGGCAACCCCAGCAGCATCTCATGCATTGTTCTTGGGGCTTGCTTCCCCCAAAGAGACACACGCTAAGTCAAGAGCGCTGGATGCTGACGGGAAAAGGGAGGGCGGGAGAGAAGGGCCAGAGTAGAAGGGCCCAAGGTGCTGTGGCAGCAGCAGCAAGGGCTGGTCTGGGTGAGAAAAGCCATAGCACAGCAGCCCATACCATGAAGGTGAGGGCCAAAGAAGCAGAATTGGAGGTGCTGGTGGGTACGGTAGTAGACCCTGTGGTCTGTTACCCACACAGTAGGTGCTGTGGTAGATAGACTAGAGACAGAGGTTCCCTAGGGCCCCAAAGGTGCCTGTAGCTCCGGTAAAGGTAATATTAACTCCAATAGCCAGGGCCCAACCCCAGTAGGGTTCAGCCACAGTGTGGGAACCCCATGCAGTTCTCAGCCTTGGCCCTTTAGATTCTAGTCAGAGGGGACCCCCAACAATAGGGACAAGACAGAGAAGGAGACCTAAGGGACTCTAGGCAGACTCAATTTTCCAACAATCACAAGAGGAACTCGGTACGAGTGACCACAGTGGGCTGGAAGCAGCAGGCCTCTGTCAAGCAGCAAGGCTACCGCTAAGCCAAGCCCAGAATAGTCAAGTATCAACAGCTAAGTGTTCTCTACCAGTTCCCCAAGTGGACAGTGAACACACATCCAAGGAGACCCCTGTGTAGTGACTTCCAGAGAATGGTCCCTAAGGAAGTCATCCTGAGGACCCCTTGTGAGGAGAAACCCTTGGGCCTGAAGCTTGTGTGGCTGGTTTGGGGTTTGGAGAGTAAGTTGGTGAGGATGCTTTAAGGTGATTAGTAACCATACCTCAGTTTTGACCTGGGCTGCTTTTAGTAAAAATAGGCTCTGATGGGGCCCCGACTTTCTCTGAATGTTCCCTGAGCCAGGGCTGGGCTTCATCCCTTCCCCAAAGTAAAAGATGGGTAGAAGACAGCCTCAGGCCACTCCCCCAAAGCAGAAGCACTGAGGGAAAATAGGAGCCTTCCTTAGTCACTTCTGTAAGTGATGAACACAGCAGAGAGCTCCATTCTGTGGGACTCGTCACCCTTCGGCCTCTCTCCGGTATCATCAGAGCTGAACCGATGCCTTGGAGCCAGGTGTTGGGCGGGACTGCCCTCTCTAGCTTCTTCACCTGACCCTCCCCAGTGAGACTCGAGGACTTCACACTGCACTCAGTGGATCGGCTTTCTATCCTCTTCCAGCCTCGGCAGAGTCCTTCGGGACTCTTGTGGAGGAGCGGCCCTTCTCTCTCAGCAGGAGCTTCTCCTCCGGGGTTTCCTTTCTATCCTTCTGTCCCACTCTTCCTAGCCCTGGCCTAGCGGCATGAGCTCTGACAAGCCAAGTTCTCCCCCCCCCCATGTGAGCATGTGGCGGCAGTCACCTGCCACAGTCCCACCTTCTCTTTTGCGTATCAATGGAGCTTCGAGAACCATGGTCAGCCCCGAACCAAAGTGGTCCCAGGACAGGTGACCGGTGACCGATGAGGCAGACGTAAGGCCTGCCGACTCTCAGATCCTCTTCCGCCGCCATCGCTTCATTTCCTCTCCCTCGCAGCACGTGTGTGCTCGGGGGCCGCTGAGAATATGAGCATAATCCTAACAGAGGAGATTGTTACATAAGAATAATGCTGGGCCTTGTGTTGTTTTAAAGGTTTTCTTTGCTCAGCCTCATTTCATGCCAAAGTGCTGCTATGGGCCTCCTTGTGTGCACAAAATTGCTTTCCTCTACCTTGGACTTGCAGCTTTCCATAGGGGAAAGCCTGCAACAGGATGACCATCCTGAGCCAGCAAGCCTGTTGGATGGTGTCTGGAGAAATTCGATTGCGGAGATATGTCATTGCCATCCCTGTAGTGGGAGAACTGTGGGCTGCCAGCACAGTGACCAGCTATGGAATTTGCCTGCAAATAATAACATGATCATTAAACTTACTATGCCTGAATCTTCCCATGCTCCCGAACTCCTTGAACACACATGCAGGTGTGTGCGTACGTGTGCACGCACTCACACACTAAATGAAGCATTTAAAGTTATAAGTACTGTAGATGTGGTCACTTGACTGACCACATGGTTTTTTTTTTTCCTAGCACTGATGAAATCAAGAACATATTTATTCATCTTCGCTTGGGTTTCTTTTCCCTTGGACAACACTTGCCCTTCGTTAAGACCAGAACATAAAAGAATTTTTGTTAAGCCACAAACTCATTATCATTGTCCTCTTTGCCTCCTGATAAACTCAAATGCCATCCTTCTCTCTTGTAGCCGACCAGGGCTTCCCTCCTATGGACCTGAGTCTAACTCTTTCTACAAAAGAAATCTGCTTTCTCAGAGTCCACGCTTCTCTTTGCATCTTCTGGTATAGAGCATGATTATTTGGGTGCAGAAAGTCTTCTTGCAGAATTCTTTAGTCAAATATCTCATCACCTTAGCAAAAACATTGGTCCTAATTGCCTTGAAACAAGATAGGGAAGATGAGAGGACATTACAAGAAGAAAAGAAGCCAGGCAGGGAGGTACTGTAACTGCAATCGTGTTTGGGGAAGCCTTTTTGCTTATGGGGAAGCCTTTTTGCTTAAGGTTCCAGAGTTTGACACATCCCGACCTTCCCATCACAGGAGAGGACAGCAGGCTTCATCATGGTAGGCCGCTTAGGCCATGGTGCCCTGTATGTCAGGAAAATCACCTGCCCATAAAGGCATGGCACCCTCTAGTATCCACCAGGCTCCACAGGAGCCATTATGACAGTTTCCCACGGGAGGGGGCATACCACACTAATAGCTGAGAAATCTATTTTACAGCAGACCTCACGTCTTTCTTCCTGCTTGTTCCCCATACTGGGGGCACCAAAGCCAGATGTCACCAGAACCCCAGATGTTCTGAATGTGTTGCTTCCTTCACTCTGAGGCCCAGGCAAAGATATCCCATATTCCAGTCTCTGGTCAACATCTCCCCTTCCCACCTGTATCCATGCCTCCACCACCACCACAGATTCTAGGTGTGAACAGGAGTGTCCTCTGGTATTCCCTTCCCAGTCTCTGTTTTGCTGCATGTTAGCACATCCTGAGATGATTAAATCCAAGCTCATAGGATGGATTAGCTGTCTCTGCCATGCCGTTAGAGAATTCACCTTCAATGAAGCAATGTCTGGAGATTGCCAGGTGATCCTCACCACGTGATCCTCACCAGGTGATCCTCACCAGACCATTTCAAAGGAAGTGTAAAGTGTGCATTCAATGTCCGTGCACTTCATGAAAGCTCACTAGAGAGAAATCAGGTCTCTTTGGCATCGAAGAACAAAGTAGTCAAGTAATCTCAGTTTTTGATTACATCTCTTTCTGAGGCCTGTAAGGTATATTTCATTTATGGTAGATATTTAGCTGGGTGGAGCAGGGAGAAGTTGGGAACTTTGTTCCTCAGCTCACTTAGACCATTGGAAAAGTTAGGGACAACGAAAGGGAATCAGACTGTCTCCTGGCATGGCAAGATTTTCTGAGACCTGAAAGAACTTCCACAGTCTTTCTATTACAACAGTGTCTTGTTTGTTATGTTTTGAAATACCAGCCCCAAGACCGGAGGCTAGTGAAGCAAAGCAGCCCATTCCTCGGGTCCTCCACCTGGCCTATGGGTCCTTTCCTTCTGGTCCTGCGAACATTGTATGCTGTCCAGGAGGAGCAGGGGAATACTTTGAGGCGGGCATGCAAACAGAATAGGGTCAGGTGGCCCCTGGAAAGTGGCCAGTCACAGCATGATGGATTGACACTAGACAAGAACCCCTACGGAATCCAGTTCAGATTACTTCTCTTTAAATATCTCTATATAGCCTTCTTTTTAAAAAAAGCCAAACAAAATTAACTTAGGGGTTATGACCTAACTGGCCATGAGTGTGATCAAAGGCAGTGCCATGTTATTCAGTGCTGTCTGCACCAATCATCTTCTGCAGCTCTTCATTTCCATACAGAACATCCTAGCCAGGTCTGTCCCAAACAGAGCAGCAACTGATACCTTCTCCACTGGCCAAAGACTGCTAAGGCATTTTTTCATCTGCCACAGGTTATACCCATAGTGCAGAGATATACTGCATGAGAAGAAAGGTCAGAAAAAGTCTAGTTGCTTTCCAGCAGTCATCTTTTCCTTTCCTTGAATCTTTCTTGGTGTATTTCCCCCCTCCATAACTGATTTGGCCTGTGTTGTGTGTCTCCCAGAGAGGTCACACCACACCAAGAATTAACAAACTCACAGATTGTTCCAACCTATCCCAAGGGCCTAGTTCAGTCATCTCATTTAATGGGGGCTCTCAGCAAAGTCTGGCAAGGTCTGCCCCCTTCTATTTTTAATAGGTTTCTTCCCACCCACACACTCCTATCATGTTATGTATTGGAGGGTTAGTGTCTTGACCCTCTAGATGCAAAAAGAGACTTTGTGATAAGCCATGCTACTACTATGTAAATACTTCTTGAGTTTCAATTTCTTGTTTATGAAGCTTTGAAAAAATTGGGTAGATAAAGTAAAATGAAGTATTGAGATTAACGCTTATTTTTATCCGTTTGGTAGTTTTTGTTTGATTGTCTACGTATTTTGTAACAGGCCCACTCTAGAACAGCAAAGAAGGATAAATCTGTGTTCTACAGTGTTCCAAATCTGCTCCTTTTCTACAATTAATTTCTGTCAAATTAATGCTATGATAATTGAGTCAAAAATCTGAAGTTACTGCCTCCTCCCGTCTGTAGCCCTGCCCCCAAATCCTGTCTTGTTAAGTGGCCTTGAACTCTTGATTCTGCATATTCTGCCTCTACTCTTTCAAAGGTCTGAAAATACAACATACATTTATGAAAAATCCACTTTTCCCACCAAAATCAATCAAAGTCAAGGAAACTATAAGATAGAGATTTTTTCAGAACATCTTTAACCAATAAATACAAAATGCATTCCTCAATGGGAAGATAATTTTAAAACAATATAGCAATTTGATAAATGACTATCACAGGAAGCTAAATATAATGAGTTCTATCCAGGCTTCACAACTCATTTGTGCCTTCAGCAAGGATATTGCATCTATTTTCATTCCCTTGTTAGGAAAATTGAAATTCTGATACTTGGCTAGTTCGCGCGTGTGTCAAGTGCTTGTAAGTTAATAATGCATAAAGCACTTAAGTCTTCACAAGTCAATCTGGAAAAATCTTCACTCATTTCACCCACCAAGGACTCGGGAAATTCTTGGCGTTTCTCATAAGCATTTAGTCTTTTTAAGGAAACCTCCATCTTAACAGGAACTAAGACTTGCTTTACTCTTGTCCTTCTATTTTTCGTATTTCCTTTTCATGTTAGCACTCAGTTTTCTGAAATCCAGGCTGTTTTCATTAATTAAGAACACTGAGTTTTCCTCTACAGACTTCCTAGTGTCATCTTCTCTTTGTGGCCACCTAAGTCAGAGAGCAAATAACCATGCACTAACACCTTTGCATCTTCCCCAGCCTGGATGAGAAATCTGAGTGAATCTATCTTTCTCTCTCCCCCCGCTCTCTCTCTTTCCTGAAAGTTTTCCAGAGAAAAGAATATATTTTGTGAAGGAAACATTTGAACTTGGGCCAAATAGTTCCACTACTTCCTTTTTGGATCCCTCAGATGGTGTCCCCCATACTAAGACAGAGACGTCATCTCCCATGTCTAACTTGGACCTGATTTGCCGACCCGGTTGTTTTCTTTTCAGCATTCTGATTTCTTCTAGGCAATGGTCTATATTGCCCAAGAACCAATGCTCAAAGCAGGTCTATCCAGGATATTTATGAGATGAGCAAGGAAAACACTTTCACGTGTCCAAGTGCCATTAATTTTTTAAAATAACGGTGATATGAATGAGGGCTAACTAATGTAACCTAACTGCCAATTAAAGTACACAGTAGTTCTGGTCTTCGTTACATTTGATATGAAGTTACAGACCATTAGGCAGTTCCCAGCACGTTTAGTGAAAACGTAGGCATTGTGTTGCAATGACTTCACTAGGGGCATACACCCAGTCGGCAGGTTGACCTTCAGTCAGTGTTTTTCTATCCTGGTGTTTTGTGAACAATCCAAAATTTCTACAAAGCCACCCTAAGTGCTGCAATTGCAGAGGAACTTCCCTCTTGGTAACTTTAGAAGGCAGGCCAAGTCCACTCACATGGAGTCCAAGATTTGGAATTCACCCAAAATAAAACCAGCAGAGGAGAAACACTTAATGCATCAAGTATGTGTGACGTTTCCTGGGATGAGTGAGTACAGAGAGAGACATGCTACTGAACACAGATGATGTGATCTGAAGACAGGACAGAGTCCCAGAAGAGGACAGGTTTAAAGGTGTCTGACTTTGGATCCTACTTTTTACTTAGATTTGGGGTAAACTCTTCAGCATGATATTGGATTCAGAGGGGTTGCTTTTGATAAACTGATTAGAATCCTCAGGATTAGTAGATTCTGGACTGGGCAGATGAAGGACAAAGCAGCCCAAAGACAATCTATAACTTCAGTAACTCATATAGTAATGTCAGTTTTGGAGAGGATGTGTATTACCCTCCCTAGTGGTATATGATTAAAGGAGGGGGAAAGGGACTATGACTAGGGCAGGAGGTGTTTTATCAGGACAGATTTCAAACGGCCAGGTGCACTGGTACTGACCTCAAAGACTAGCATTGTGAGAAGGGGATGATACAGTGTCTAGGTCATCCCCTCTGTTCTTCGGGACACGAGGATAGGCCTTGATTTGATCTTAGATGAGGAGCACGTAGGGTGGGAGCAAGAGGGAAAACGGGCACTCTGCCTCAGGTTGTAAAGAACGCTGCCACCCACATTTTCAGACATCTGTGAGCCACACCCATGCGATGCCCCGTTAAGGGGCAGCATTCCCTGGGGTGTATCAGCCTGACATTCATGCAGCAGTGGGGATGGAACAGCAGGCAAAGCTGGCCCA